TCCGCAGGACACAGATCTTGCCTCTCACACACCTTCCCCATCCCCTCAGTCAGACTGACTCAGTCTCTCCTTTGTGTGTCCCTGGAGTCTTACTGTTATTTTTCTTGTAACAAGAAAGTATTTAAGACGTTTTACTTTGATTTACAACTACGTATATGCATTTTGACCAGCTTACTGAAGGCAGGGTAGCAGTGGCTCAGTGAAAGGCACTATGGCGTGGTGATGAAGAACACAGGCACTGGACTGAAGTCCGGGTTCAACTCCCAGCTCCACCACTTAGCTGCTGTGTGGCCAGGCAAATCCCTGCCCTCTCTGAGCCTCCATTTTGTCAGCTGTCAAGTGGAGCAAAATCGGTCCCTGTTTTATAGGGTTCTTGTGAGGAGGGACTGTCAAGCCCTAACACAGTGTGTGGCACACAGAAAAGGTCCTATCAGTTATTCACGGAACGTCAGTGGTGAAGGAGCATTGATGTCGCTGTCCAGTGAGTTTACAGATAAGAAAGTAAGCCCAGAAAGGTAACCTGGCAGGTCTAAGATGATACCGTGCTGATGCCAGTGACCCCGTCTAGCCCAATAATACTCATGTTGTTCCCTTTGATAGGGGACATTTCTCACTCCTCTCCCCATCTTGAGAAAAGTCAGGGCTTTGAGTTAATTCGACAAACTGGCCTTGAGCCCTATTAAGTGCATAGCCTGGGGCTAGATGTTGGGCCTAGAAGGCAGCACTGGCCTAGTCACCAGCCTGCAGAGGAGGAGACTGTGGGCGCTCCCTGGGAACTGGGCAAGGCCTGCTGGGAAGGGTTCTTCAGAGCAAAGGGGCAGGGTGGTGTGCTAGAAGAGGTGCTGACCTTGAGACCAGGCAGGCCTGGCTTTGAATCTTGACACATCTGTGTATTCAGAGAGCGACTTGGCCAAATCTAGGACAAATGTATAACACAAGAAATCGTGGTAGTAATAGATTATAACCCATAAAATAAAGCAAATATCCACAAATTCATGTGGATTGAAATAAACGACTGAATAAATGGGGGAGAAGAGAAATCTCTTCCTTATATTAGCATTCCAACGAATAGATATAGAAGGCATGATAAAAATCGGAAATCACCAACTGGGAAATACCATTGTAGTAGTTGTTTTGGGTAAGAATTATCAATAGATGATAAAATTAATGGGTGAAAGTTTGATTCAAGACAAGACATTTACATAGTCTCAACTGTCACCCCCAAGACTCCTATTAATTATAGGAAAATAGTAATTTTACCAGGAAGAATCTTGGCAGATACCACCTTAGTCAAGAGATTAGAGCTAATACCACCAGTTAGTGAGACATCTTAACATCATCTGCCCCCGATAAGCCGAGAAAGGCACAGCATCGCTTTTGTGTTCTTCTTGCCCAAAGAGCATAATCTCCATGGAACCATAAGGAAACATCACATGGACACACACTAAGAAACATTCCATCAAATAACTGGCAAGAACTTTTGTAAAGTGTCAATGTCATGAAAGAAAGAGACAAAGACAAAGGGCCTGTCACCGATTAGCGGACCTAAGGAGACAGGACCACTACATGCAGTAGGCTGGGAAAGGGGCACCCATGGGAAAACTCATTACATTCCAGCAAGGTCTGTAGTAGGTCATACTGTATCAGTGTGATTTCTTATTTTTGCCAATTGTGCTATGGTTATGTAAGGTGTTAATATTTTAGGACGCTGGGTGACGACAATACAGGGAATTTTTCGCAACTTTTTTTTTTTCTGTCTGCAGTTCTTTGTAAATGAAAAGTCAAAAAAGAGAGAAAGGGAAAAGGTTGTCTTTGGCCAATCTCTCCTCTCTCTGAGCCTCAGTTTCCTCATTTGTAGAGCAGGGCAACAATTCTAATCCACTTCACAGAGCTATGAGGACAATATGAAATAATGCAAAGTAGCAATCTGTGCGTATTTATCCTATTAAAACATATTCCTGCTGCTAGTGGTGGCAGCCGATGTGTCTTGATGAGATAACTGAGCTGCTAAGACTTCAGGAGGGTTGTACCCTAATGAGAAACATCTGGCTGCGAGCGACTTCCTCACAGCCATTGGATATGACCTTGCCTAAGGAAATAATAATGCCAGCTTTGTGGCTGGGTGGCTGCTGTCAAAGAGACGGCGCCAGATAGCCCAGACAGCTGGTGAGAGTGACGTCAGCGCTAGGCTTGGCAGAAAGGAAGGCCGTGGTGAGACAGAGATGGGGCAAAGGGCTTTGTCCCTGACCATGAAAACAGGAAAAACAACTTCCCAAATAGCCTATCCTTTGTACGATTGATTCTATTTTCAGTTCCCAGGGTCGCTAAAGGGTTTAACACAGGATCCAATTTTTTTGAAAGGGGCACTGGATTAATTATAGAGAGAATGCCTCACAGGCTCTTATTTCTTCATAGTTTCCAAAGTATCTAATTGGATAATGCAGCTGTGTGAGCTCAGCATTGTCTGCCCTGCTTTACACGTGGGAAAACCAAGGAGAGGCGAGGGGAAGAGACTGCAGGTCACAGGATGTGAGAGGACTCTCGGCGCCAGAATTCAGGTGCCTAGACTCCCGGGCCGCCTTTAGACTGTCCTCATTAAGATTCACCTCAGGGCCACCTCGAAGCAGTTGCCCAAGGAGTCTGCTGAACACACCCATGAAATACTGTTGTCTGGATGTAGATATCATCTCTTAACTGTAAATTCTAAAGTGGAGAAAAAGAAACAAGCAGGGAAGACAGGCTGCCTGAAACAACTAGTGCTTTGGAGTTTAGCGAGATGGGAGCTCAAATCCCAGCTCTGCCACTTACCAGCTGTGAGACCTTGAGAAAGTTATTTTTACCTCTTTCGGTACCTCAGTATTCTCATCTGTAAGTGACATGGGGGTAATGGTAGACCTACTCCGGAAGGTTAGACTTCTTCCTTGTTTCCTTTCTCAAGGGTTTCATCTGCTGGATGGAAAGTTAGTTCCTTCATTTGAGAAGTGATGACTTTATAACCCAGCCTCCCTCACCAGCATAGAGTTGGCTGTGTGTCAGTAGCATTGAAAAAAACACCGAGAAATAGCCTTCAGAGCTGTGAGGTCCTGAGACATCCATCCAGTCCGACCCTCTTATTTTACAGATGTAGAAACTGAGGCCCAGCGCAGAGGAGTGGTTGGCCAAACATCTCAGAGAGTCAGTGGCAGAAGCAGCTCCCTGCTTTTGGACACACTCAGATCTCACCGGCTGCAGTTAGCACTGTCAAGAACTGTTGGCTCCGGGGCTTCAAGCACTGCGCCTTCCCTGGAGCCAGCGGGTTCCTGCCCACTCTGTCTTTCAGGGTGTTATTTTATTGCTGATTCTGGGGGCGGTTGAAGATCTGGAAAAGGAAGAGGGACAGGCACGGGGGCAAGTTGTATAGGCCTCAAGAACACAGGGATACACACATACACAGAGGGGAGAGAGAGTGTGAATATGGGATAACTTTTTTTAAAAAAATCAAATTGCACATATATTTTTAAAGATTTTATTTATTTATTATTAGAGAGGGGAGGGAGGGAGAAAGAGAGAGAGAGAAACATCAATGTGCGGTTGCTGGGGGACTATGGCCTGCAACCCAGGCATGTGCCCTGACTGGGAATTGAACCTGCGATGCTTTGGTTGGCAGCCTGCGCTCAATCCACTGAGCTACACCAGCCAGGGTTGGGATAACTCTTTGACTGAGCTATTATAGGTATCTTAGGTCATCCTCACATCCTTGCAGGATAGGTTTTAGCCCCATTTTCCAGATTGATTGAATCATTCAACATATATTTTTAAACACCTGTTGGGTGGCAGGCACTGATATGTGTTGGGGATGTAACAGCAAACAGTTCAGAATACAGTCTCTGTTCTCATGGAGCTTCCAAGAGGCCTACATTAAAAACAAACAACCAAACACACACACACACACACACACACACACACCACACACACACACACACACACACACACACGTCTATACTTGAAGAATGTGGTAAATGCCACAGAGGAAAAACAAGAAAGGGCTTGATTTAGGTTAGAGGATTAGAGAAGGCCTCTTCTGGAAAGTAACACTTAAATTGAAGAATGAAAAAACTGAGACCGAGGGTGGACTTGTACATGCTTAGAGGAAAAGTCACCATCAACCCACTTACCCATCTTTTCAAGTTATTTTCATGCAGGACTCTTCTGACACCCTGTAGAGGACAGTAGAGCAACCTTGAGATGGGGAGACGAAGTTTGGGTCCTCTGGCCAAGCTCCGCCCCAGTTACCCAGATGTTTGGTGATGGCTCTGTGCTTTAGGAAAGGCAGCGGGATTTTGCAGAGTCGCGACGCGGCTGGCTGGCGCCCCAGGCCTGGCTCCAGTTCACAGGCTTACTGCGTATGACTTCGGGAGAGTCGTTTTGTCTCTCCCGGCCTCAGTTTACTGGATGTTAAGTGCATTTGAGACCTAAAGGTAAAAAAGAATCACTAGGAGAGTCTGGAGAAGAAGTGTTGCTGACCACTTGGCTCATAGGAATGAGCTTGTTTTAAATTAAGTGTGCAAATAACTACTGGAGTTGGGGTTCTACAGGTAAGGATTTTTCTAAAGGGAGACAGCATAGGATTATCTGGTGAATTTCAAGCCAAAGCGAAGCAAGTCTTTTGGAAGAATAGATTGTAATGTTCGTGGTCATTATCCTGGAAAGCATAGAGCAATTTATGAACTCTGAGGGTCCGTAAGTGGCCAGACCCCCAAACTCCCGCTTAAAATAACGGACCTTGGCCAGCCTTAGCCCTCAACAAAGATGGAGCCTTCCCGGCCTCGGCTTGACTGCCCTCACCAAATATGGCCACTAGACTGTCTTTCCCTAGCCTCGCTGGCCCAAGGGCGGGTGTTCTGCCCTTAGTTAAGATGGCGCCCACCCGCGATTCCCAACCTGGCTTCGGGTCCCGGCCTGCGGGCTTCACTGCACACCTCTCAATGACCCCGCCTCATTTCCGTAGGAAGAAGCGCCGGGAAAGATGGCGGCGGCTGCGGTTTGAATTCCAGCGGCGCCGCCAGAGTTCCAACGAGAGCTGCATTGGAGGGGGCGGGGACCTGGCGAGTCGGGCGGGTCGCTACCGCAGGGGGATCCAGTGGTGCCTGCACCACCCACACTAATGCCACCACCTCCTCTGTGTCCGTGATGGACTCGGTGTTGGAAGAGGACGTCACCCTCCCCGGGACGCTCAGCGGCTGCAGGTGTGGCCCGGGTTTTGGGGGTTCGTGGTAACGAGCACGGGGTTCCGGCTGATGGTAGTTCGCTCCAACGGAGAGTTGGGGTTCTTGAGGGTGTTTGAGGGTTTCCGGACAGAAGCAGGTGTGCGGGTTGGGATTTTTAGCGGGGGGTCTCTTTGGGAACCCACCAGCTGATATTGAGTGTGGAGGGCTGGGCGTCCTGACCCGCACCACACTCGCCTTTCCTGTTTTGGGACATTCTTTGAAGAGGATGTGAGGGACAGGTAAGGGATTTTCTAAAAGAGCGGGAAGAGGGGGACCTCTTGGCGTGTGACCATTAGTGGGAGCTGGTTGAGGGTCAGGACCGTGAGGGTACTTGATGGTTCATTCTGGTTTCAGGGTTTGCTTTCAGTATGGGGAGTGTAGTTGCTCTGTCCAGACTGCGTATGGGGGTCACATAGTGGCTATGAGACAGGCAATGGACCGTCGTGATTAAGAACCTTGGCTGGAGTTGAACAGGTTTGGATTCAGATCCAGACCTTTAAACTAACTAGCTGTGTGACTTTTGTAGAATGGCTTAACTTACTTTCTCACCTGTGAAGTGGGGCTGGTGGAAAAGCCACCCCACCGAGTTGGGGTGAGGATTAAAGGAGAAGATGCTTGTCCAGCCATTTGCTTGGCAAGTGTAGTGCCTGGCACATAATCAGTGCCTAGAAAATGGTTGTGTTGCTGTCACCATCATCATCATCATATCATCATCAATAGTAATATAAGTTAGGGAATACTGACCAGGAGTGGCCTCCCAATGGACCTGTTCCAAGAGGCTGTCGGAGTCCACATTGCTGGTGGGGCCAGGGTCTCTGCTGATGGGATGGCCTGACAGAGCCTTGCATGGCTCCAGGGCTGGGACCCTTTGGGTGTCCAGGACTCCTGGACAGCATGGGTAGAAGGATGCAGAGGAGAGCCTGGCTGAGACCGTGTAGTGTTTGTCCAGGTCTGCTAGGGACAGGCTGCTGCTCCCGGACAGCAGACCTTAACTGAAAGGGTAACCATATTATTTGTTGTGCAAACCAGGACGCCCTGAAGAGTGAAATGGTCACAGTCAATATTTATGCCTGGACCATAGGCAGAAACAAGTCCTATAGTGAGCAAACCTGGACAAAGAGTTACTTTGTTTATTGTGAATTTACTGTGTACAAGGCAGAGCAAGGCCCTTTGCAGCTCCTGCCTGATTGGGTCCTGTGGTAGTTCATCCTGACTTTTTATCTCACTGCCGCTGCCCCATATATTGTGGTATGACCTCTCACCCAGATTGTCCTCTTTTTTTTCTTTCACATCTCTAATATTAACGCACTATTTCCATATGTTGTCATTTGGACTAGTAAATTCTTTTTAAAATGTAAATCTGATCATCAGTTTGCTGCTTTGTGTGTTCATGGTTCTCATTACCATTACCAAAGCAATCTGGGTGATAAAGTCCCTTATCTCTCAGATTGCTTTTCCACTCTCAGTGCCAGTTGGCCAGACCTAGCTGGGTTTCCATCCAAATGCTGTCACTCAACAGTCTTGTGACCTTGGATAAGTCACTTACCCTCTGAGCCCAGTTTTCATCTGTAAAGTGGGTAAGCATAAACAGGTTAAGCCCAGTGTCTGACCCAGGGTAGCAACTCAGCAGGTCATCAGGTATTCTCCCTTCCCTCCTCTCCTGGACTTTGCAGGACCCAGGGGCTGTGGGCGTTCCTGGCAATGACTCTCTCATTCGCCTTCTCCACACCCTCCCTGGCTCCTTTCTCCGCTCAGTATGAAACGCTCTAACACGGCTTCCCGGTCCTTCCTACGCTGGCCCCGTCTACCTCATCGCCTCCCTCGGCCTCCCTCTCCCTCCTCTCTCTCCTCCCCAGGCTCTCCGCTCTGCCTGGCCGCCCAACTCTTTGTTGTGAACGAGCTTGTCTTGTTTTTTTCTCACTGCTCGGCCTGTGCCCTCGCTGGTCTTGCTGCCTGGGCGGCCCTCACTACACCCCTTTGCCTTATTAATGCCTGTTGTTTTTCAGGTCTCAGTTTAGATGTCACAGTGAGGAAGACTTCACTGGCATGCCCCCACCCCCACCCGGGCCCTCTGTACTCCTCCAGCCACCCCATCCCCCCATCTGTCACTGACCCTGCCTCAGGCCTTCCTCACCTTGCGGAGTTTCACTGACCAGCCAGCGCTGTCCAGCAGAAATAGAACTTGAGCCTCATATGTAATTTAAAACTTCCTAGTAGGCAAATTAAAAAAAAATAAAAAGAAACAGGTGAAATTAACTTTAATAATCTATTTAATTTAATATTTCCATGTATTATCATTCTAACTTGTAAACCACAAAAATTATTAATAATAAATTATTTTGCATTCTTTTTTTTTTTTTTTTAACCGTATCGAGTCTCTGAAGTCTGGTATGTATTTTCCTCTTGCCGTACTTCTCAGCGTGGATTAATCGAATCGGGTGCTCCGTAGCTCCCTGTGGCTGTGGCTGATGGCTGCTGACCTGGACAGCGCAGGTGTGCTGTACACATCTCCCAGATTAGACTCCGACCTGTTTGAGAGCAGGGGCTGCGTTTTGATCATCTTCGTAACCCTGGTTCCTAACCTGATATCTGGCTCATAAGTGGGGCTCAGTAACTATTTGTAAGTCACTGAATAAACAGCTGTCTTTTGACACTATCACCCCCTTTGTATAGGTCAGGACACTGCGGCTCAGAGATGGGAAGTGAGCAGGTCTGGGATCCACAGAAAGCGTACGATCGAGCCAGGATTTAGTCGAGGCCTCCTGACTCCAAAGCCTGGCTCTCGGTACCCCTTCCTGCCTTCTGACCAGCACCTGTTCTGAGAGGATTCTGGGAGGACTTTACATAACTGCTGGTACTTGAACTGGCCGCTAAAGACCGGCAGAAATATCCAGAGAGATCGGTTCTCCAGTAGGTGGTCACAGTGGAAGAGAAAAGTCCATAGAATAAAACCACCTCCTCGTCTGCTAATGTGAGCACTCCTCTGCTTGGTGGTTTCCGAGCCCCAGTTTTAGAGACTGAGCTGGAGTCCAGTTTGTTCTTAGACTGTTGTTGAGGTAATTAGGTTAGTGTATGTCATTGTCTCTAAACCTTATCAACTGTGGGTGCCCCAGTACTCTCCTGCCCAGTGAGATTTAGGCCCAAATCCCGGCCCCAGGAACTTCACTTACCTACTCTGAGGCCCTGTAGTAAGCCCCGCCCAGGGGTGTGGAAAGAGCCTGGGCTTTGTACTCACATGACTGGATCTGAATCCTGCTTCAGCCAGTTACTCGTGTCTTGCTTGGGTAATTTACTTAACCCTTCTGAGCCTCAGTTTCTCTTTGGTGATTTTATCTGTGTAGCTGTTAATCTGATCATACCTATTCTATCGGGGTGTCTGTGTAGATGAATGGAAACTGTATGTAGCCTGGCAGCTACCGGGAGTGCATTCCGTGTTGGCTGTTTTTCTTGTATTGCTACCGGGGTGCACGGTTTCCTCTGGACCCACCACCCCGGGCCCATCGCTTTGGTTTCTCGCCCAGGCTTCTGCCTGTCCCTGACTGAGAGCTCCCTGAGGCCTGGGCCCAGCTTGTTCATCTGAAGGTCCCTCCATTACCTGGCCACTAAGGGCTTGCAGTCTGCGTAGGGGCAGACCAGAAAAATAAATGTTTTCTGATAAGTTTGTACTTGCCTAAAAGTTTGTACACAGTTGGTTCTCTAGCAGTCCAAAGGTGCCATCATGGACTTTTGTAGAAGGAGGTTGAGAAAGGGGCTGGTGGGATGGAATTTCCGGTGACGGCTGACCTGGGATCGGGGTGCCGCGAGACTGTGAGGTGGGAGGGGGCACTGCCACCCTCACCCGTGTGTGAACTCGGAGGGCGGGGGCGCGCCTGGATTATGGCCCACTGTGTCTTTAGACCCAGGACCATGTCTGGGACATAGTAGAGGCTCAACAAATACTTGTTGAATGCGTCAATTTTGCTCAGTCTCTGTCTGAAAAGACAAATACTGTGTAAGTCCCGTGTTTCGTAGTGAAATGCTGCTTTGTAGTCACGGAAATAGTGCAGATAGAGTGTCAGCTGGCACAGTCTTTGTGGAACACAGTTTGGCATCTGTTAACTTCAAAAACGTGCCTGTGGGGTTTTTAATAGCTTTACTGAAATATAGTTTATATGCCGTAAAGTTTATTCATTTAAAATTATTTAGTGATTTTTCAGTATTTTTACAATTGTGCAACCATCACCATAATTTAATTTTAGAATATTGTCATCATCCCAAAAATATGCCCATTAGCAGTTGCTCCCTGTCTTAGTCAGCTTGGACTGCTGTAAAAAACAAACAAACAAACCACAGATTGTGTGACTTAGCAGACAGCAGAAATTTATTTCTCATTGTTCCAGAGGTTGGAAGTCCAAGATCAGGGTGCAGAATGGTCAGTTTCTGGTGAGACCCTTATCTGGGCTGGAGACTGCTGACTTTTCCTTGCGTCCTCACGTGGAAGAGAGTGGAGAGAGGAAGCAAGCTCTCCCATCCCTTGCAAGGGCACTCATCCCGTTCAGGAGGGCTCCCCTTCATGGCCTCATCTGCTCCTAATCCCCTCACACAGGAGGGGAGGGTTTCGGCATGCATTTTGGGGAAGCCCACCATTCAGCCCATCACACTCCCCATTCCTCCCTGCTCCCCACCTCAGTTCTGGGCAACCACACAGTCTACTTTCTGCCTGTGGAATTTCCTGTCCTGGATGTCCCATGTACACGGGCTCTCACAGCGTGTTGTCCTTGTGAGGGGGACCCACGTCGCAGCCTGTGTCGGTGTCTCATTCCTTTCTGTGGCTGACGGTGGTCCAGTGTGTGCACGGGCCACCTGTGTCTGTCCATTCATCGGTTTGTGACATCTGTGTGGTTTCTGCTGTTCTGGCTGTCAGGAGTAACATTGTTATGAACATTTATTTGTATGGGAGCTTTTATGTGGACATACGTTTTCATTTCTGTCTACATATAAACTTGGAAGTGGAATTGCTGGGTCCTGTGGTAACACTATATTGAATGTTTTGAGGAACGAACTCTTTTCCAGAGTGGCTGCCCCATTTTACGCTCTGATCAGCAGTGTATGAGGGCTGTTATTTCTCCACACCCTCACCAACACTCGTTATTAACAGTCTGCCTTTTTTATTGTAGCCATCCAAGAGGTATGGCATGGTGTCTCACAGTGGTATTGGTTTGCATTTCTTAATGACTAAAGATGTTGAGCATTTTTTCATGTGCTTATTAGCCATTTGTATATTTTCAAATCCTTTGCCTATTAAAAAAATTGGAATATGTTTTGGTCCAGCAGTTCCACTTGTTGTCTAGCCGCAAGCAGTGCTCACGCATGTGCACCAGGAGAGCTGTATGAGGATGTTTGCACAGCGTTGTTTGCAGAAGGAAAACTTGGACACAAGTTGAATCACCACCAGCGGATTGTGTAAATACAGACCTTTCAACAGCATCTGTATTTCAGACTGCGACCCGCAGCCGCTCACGAAATCCGATTCCGCAGGTTGCAATCAGGATTTTGTAAAATGGAGTAGAGCAGAATAGAAAACATCTCAAGAGTGAAGGGTAATATGTTTTCTTCTGTGGGTCGTGGGCGATCGTTTTGGGAAAGAGTGCTTTAGAATGCTTTGTGGGAGTTTAAACTGCTGAGGGAGACCCATTCGTACCGCCATGAAAATACCTCTAGGATGCGTTCAGTGAAGAAAAGATGCTGCAGAATGACTTACAGAGTTTGATTGCATTGACTTGTTTTTAAGCCACAAAATAAAACTGTGTCTCCGTCTGTGCGAACACACAGACCGAGGTCTGGAAGGACACGGGTCTTGCCGACAGCGGTGGTCGCCTCTCGGGAGGGGCTGAGGTGGGAGTGCGGAGGAGCCAAAGAGAGCTTGAAGCTTCTCTGCGTTCTGGTCTTTACACATTTCTTCTCCAAGGATCAATAACATAGAATGACGAATGTTGAGAGGCACACTGCAGGGTACTGGTTGGTGTAGTTGTTTCCTGAAGGTGATGCCCAGACCCCTCCATGGCTCTCATGACCCTGAACCAATGAAATGCCTAGGCCTTGTCGGCTCTGTGGTGTGGATGGACAGTTGTTGCTGCACGTGCAGACCCAGAGGGAGATCGCTCCCACTGGGTGGCCGGAGGGCAAGGCAGGAGGGTGAGGTGGTGAAGCTCGGGTGAGTGCCCATTGGTTCACTCAACCAACAGTGGACAGACAGCGGTCGCGGTGGCCCTGCGCTGTGGCCAGTGAGCACTGGAAACCCTTTGCCTGCATTCATTCAGACCTCGCCACGGCCCCCTTGAGGCAGGTGTTAGGGGTCCCAGGGTGGGGTAGAGGTTAAGAACATGGGGTTTGAAATCCAGCCAGTGTGCCTTTTGTAGCTCATCAACTTTTCTTGGCCTCTGCTTCCTCATTTAAAAAAAAATGGCAACGTTGAAAACTGCCACCTACCACAGCAGGGCTGTGGCGAGGCTTAGGCGGGAGGCAGCCGGCCCTGCCCCTCCCTGTGCTGTCCTGAGTGCGGTGCCTGCTCAGCGTGGGTGTCCTGCAGGGTAGGCTTGTTGTGACTGTGCTGGATTTAGCTGGGTTTGGTCTCAGCTTTGCCACCGCTGCTTTGTGATTTTGAGCGAGTAAGTTCCTTCCCCTTTCTGGGCCTTAGTCTCTCCCGTCGCACCGTGATAAAAACCATATCGAAGTCCTCTTGTTTTGCTTGTGTAGTTGTGCTATCTTGTAAGGCTCCCTGAACCCCCAATCTTAGTTCTCAGGCTAAAAATGAGTGATTGGAATGGGAAGAGGGAGCTACTTCGAGCTGGAGGGGTGCCTGGGACTGACTGGAGCGTGCAGATGACAGAGTCATAGCATTTTAAAAGTGGGTGGGTAAGGTGTCCATTAGCAGATGGTTATAGATAGTCAAAAATGAGTCGATAGTGGATAAAACAACTGTGGGACATTTACACGATGGAATACTACTTGGCCGTAAAAAAGAAAATTTTACTTTTTGTGACCTTATGGATGGACCTGGAGAACATTATGCTGAGTAAAATAAGCCAGTCAGAGAAAGAGAAATACCACATGATTTCACTCATATTGGAATCTAATGAACAAACTGAACTAACAAGCAAAACAGAGACAGGCTCAGAGAGAGCAGATGACAGTGGTGGGCGTGTGGTTAGGGGGTGGAGGGACTGAGGAAAAAGGAAAAAGGACTCATGGACATGGACAACAGGGTGGTGATTGATGGGGGCGGGGGGTGTAAGGGGATTAAATGGTAATGGAAAAAAATACAATAAAGATTAAATTAAAAAAATAAATTTCAGGGGAAAAAAGTGGGTAGGTAAAGCCCAAGTGGAAACTTGGCAGGAACCAGACAGGAATTTCTGTTACATAGTGGTTTCTTCTAAGAGTTGGGAAGTCAAATGTCATTTTTCATACTTCTGTGTTTGTCTGTAGGAAACTTATCAAAGACCGGATTCTTTGGCTGTGCCCACCAGGTAGTTTTCAACTGTGATTGATCTTGGCTTGGGTAACTGATGGGCCATTCAGCCAGTGGGAGTCATTCCGTGGCTGTGGTGGGGGAAACCCCGGTCGGGAGCGTAGGGACTGGACTGCAGGCTGAGCTTGACCAGGGACCTGGTGTGTGCCTTGGGGCCACCATCTGCACAAGGTGGTGATTGAACTTGATTTTAATCTTTAAGAAAATTCAGTTTGGAAAATGGCGTTTGTCCTAGTAATGCCTATTAGAGGAAATTGAGAATTATAGAAAATTAAAAGAGGAAAATCTCTCTCATTTCCACAAATGATGATTTTAAATATTTCCTCCGTCTTCATTTATAGCCCCCCTAACTTCCAAGAAGGGTTAGAGGTGACTTTAGTGTGAATGTATTTCTTTTATCATTGAGGGCATAGTCTGCGTAAGTTTTTTCTTGCTATCTTTATAGCAGACACATTTTTTGTAATCATTCTGTTGATGTTGGAATTTTATGATATCCTTTTTTTTTTTTTGCCTGGCACTCATCGTGGAGGTGCAGGCCAACTTTAAGTTTGGTGACCCGGCAAAACTGCCTTCGGAACGGAATGGAGTTAGGGTTAGATGTGTGGGAGGAGCAGATGGCCAGAAAGTGCAGCTGAGCTTCCATCAACTCCTAGTTGACAGCTTCGGACAGGGGCACGTCATTGGGGATTAGACATGAAAGGCTGGGATTCGGGATTTGGTTCTCTACCGAACTACGCTGCAACCCTGGATAGGCCACTGGGATTATCTGGGTCTTAGCGCCCTCCTTTGAACAGTGCGTGGACCCTCAGGGAGTTGGGTGGTTCTCATGCTGGCGAACCCTTTGTCAGTGATAAGGCACTGTATGTTTCCAGCTGACAGTGATGCTTTGCTTCCATTTCTGGGGCACCCACAGCATGCAGGTACCTTGCTGGGCACTTGTGTCCTGCTTACGTGTCAGTCACTCCTTTCCTAGATGACGGCAGCAAAGCCTGCAGGGGTTTGTGGCAGAGCTTAGAGTAGAATCCAGGGTGGCGTCTTTTGTGTTAAACCACTCCTCCTGCTATGGTGTAGTTTTCTGACAATGTCTCCAGGTCTTCAGTGGACCTCTTCTTACATCAGTGTTTCATGTAGTAATACTTCTTGGATCAGTAAGTTTTGCATTTTTGTTTCATGGTCTTAAAGCATCTGAATTGGTGCCTGATTCTTGGAAGCTTGATTTTGGTTATGATAGGTGTATTAATATTAGTAATGACGAAGACAATAGATGCCACTTAGTGAGTGTTTACTATGTGCTTTGTGTTTATGTGCGTTAACTCATCTAATCTTTAGAGGGTGGTATTCCCATGTAACAGATGAAGAAAGTGAGACTCAGACACTTACATGGCACACTGCCTCTGCATCTGCCACATGTATGGCATACAGCTTGATGTATGAGTCAGGGAATGAATGAAGGAATGAATGGATGACCAGCGTTACTGAAGGTCACTCAGCTGTTAAGTGTTAGGGCCAGAACTCTGCCCCAAAGCCTGAGTTCTCAGCCCCTGCACTGCTGCCTCCCACGTGGCTCAGCTGTGTGCCCCTGGCCGGCCACGGCCTGATGATTGCCGTGCGCAGTCTCGGCAGTCTTAACGGCCTCTGTCGTTCAAGCACTCACTCATCTCTTATGCGTGTATTCTCTCTTAGTGGCCTCGTTCCCAAGTTACCAGATGACCTGGAAGGCATCAGCCCCATTGCTGGTTTGGGAAATGGTGGTAAGTACCCAACGCTGGGCACTTTTTAAAATTAAGAACAAGGGACGCAGATGCCAGTCCGTGGGGGCCCTGAGGCCTGGAGCCTGGGAGGGGCCCCTGTGTGTCTGGGGCCCAGAGCCCGCCCTGGCCTGCAGGGTGCCCACAGTAGGGCTCAGGATTTTACGTATGTATTGATGTGTTCCTCACCTCCTCTCACAGACACTGGCCTAGAGGAACTGATGTTCTTCAGGCCGTATTTCATGAGTGTTTTTTCTCGCTATCATGCTTGTAGGGGTTCAGTCTGTGTTTGCTAAGCTGAGTGACTGCGTGGAGGCAGGACGTGGGTTTGGTGACTAGGTCAGGCATGGAAGACCTGGTGGTCCCCACTGCTCGGTGGCTGGAGGCCGAGGAGAGCTGCTGTCTGAACTTTGGTGTGCCAGGGGTCTCCTGGCAGGCTGCTGGTTCCACGTGCTGGTGGAGGCCCAGCATTCGAATCCACACGGGCCTGCCCTGTGGAGACAAACAGCTGGTTAGACCCCAGGAGACGGTGCTGAGGAACTAAGCCGCCCGTTGGGGTTGAGCTGGATTGTGAGGAGACTTTCTGTTTTGCATCCTTCATAACTTTGTTTCTGAGAAACGTGCAGGCTGGTGCAGGGATCTGGGGAAGTGCTGATAATTCGACTTGTTGAGAGATCTTAGAGCTATTTGGACTCGTGTGTTATTCTCTTCTCCAAACTGATGAAACATGGGCAAAAGGAAGACGTTTTTAGAGCAGGCCATATAAGTGTCCCAGGTCTGTTTCTGGAGAGTACTTCAGCTTATAGGCCGCCCTTCGGTTTTCCCGCAGAATATGTTAACTTTTTCTGGTAACACAGAATCCAGCAAGTCTTGTTTCCGCCCTTCCTGTGCCCAGACGGTTAGAAGCAGAAAATCGGCAGGCCCGCGCGCACGTGCGTGTGGTGCCAGGCTCTGGGCTAAGCACTGGGGTTCAGCCTGGAGCAGGTTACAGCCAGGCCGAGGGGACAGACGATTAGAGAATTATTAAGACAAATCATATGATGAATGTAATGAGTGAAGGCACATCAGGTGCGGTGAGAGGGAGGAAGAGGGAGATTTGTCTTGGTGGACGGAGGAGGTGGGTCAGGCACGAGTTTCCCGGGAAACCGATACTGGAGCCAAGACTTGAAGAACGAGGGGGACCTCGTTCTCGGGACAGGGACACAGACACAGGTGCCTGAGCGTGGCCTGTGAGCAGAGCAGGAGCTCAGACCTGTGAGCCCTGAGTCTGGCGCACGGGGCTCCTCCCGGTCCACCCCCGCCCAGTGCCTGATCCTCTTTTCTGCTGAGTGGCTCAGAGCACTGTGCCATTCCCAGCTCCGGGCCTTTGTGCGGGGGTGGGGTGGGGTGGGGTGGTGGTTTCTTTGCCTTTTGCCCCTCGTCTGCCCGCTGCCCCTTTCAGACTTAGCTTGAAACTCACTGCCTTCCCTGGCTCTCCGCCACCAGCCTTAGGCTTGCTTTCCTCTCTGAAATGTATATATTTCATTTCATTTATTTCATTGATTTCTGTTGGCTATTTTAAAAATACCCAGAATTAGCCCACTCCCAGGCCGATTCTAACTCACGCTATGCCACCCTGGTCTAAGCCACTGTGATCTCTGGCCTAGAGAACCCCAGGACCCCCCTGACTGGTCTCCTGGTTCCCAAGCATCTTTCAGTCTGTCCTCAGCGGGGCAGCCCGAGGGAGCCCCTAGAAAGCGAGTCCGACCACGTTCCTCTCGGGCTCTGAATCCACTGTTGGCTCCTCGGAGTCCAGGGAGGAGCCTGTGAGGCCACCCGCAGTCAGCGCCCCCCCCCCCCGGCACCTCGCTCACCTCCTCTTCTCGCCCTCTCAGTCCACTGGCATCACGGCTGGTCCTCGGGCCCACGAGCCGTGCTCCCACCTCGGGCTGCTGCCCAGGCGTCCCCTTCTCAGCGAGACCTTGCTTAGTGTAGCCAGCTTATGTGAGATGGCACTCCTTACCGCCCCCAGCCTTGGTATTTCTTCTCCTTGTCCACTTGGTTTTTCTCCATCGCATTGATCCCATTGTAACATGTTATGAATTGCCCTATGATTTTGTTTATTGTCTATTTCTGCTTCCTAGAGTGTCAGCTCCATTTGTTTGTTTTGTTTCCTGATACAGCCGCATCTAGAAGGATGCCCGGCAGAGAAGAGGCCCTCCACGCATGTCTGTTGGAAGGGTGCTTTCATTTGCTCAGCACGCCCTTACTCGCCAGCTGGGAAGTGCCAGGCCCCTTGTGGGCGGGGCAGCTCCTGTCCGTCTCTGTCTTGCCCACTGGGGTGGGGACCTCTTGGGCCCCGGATACGTGGCTCCCTGGTGCCTAGCACGGTGCTTGGCCCAGAGTAGGGAAGCAATAAATGCTCAATTAAAGAAGCAGTGGGGAAATTTGGGTTTTGGCGAAGTCTTTAATCATTCCATAGCAGCGATCGGCAGCTTCCGACCCACTGCCTGCTTCGGAAAATAAGCTTTTATGGGAGCACAGCTTCTTTGTTTATGAATTGTCTGTGGCTATTTTTGTGTTTCAACAGAAGAGTTAGTGTTATTATATTGTACAGATTTTAGGCTTTATATATGGCCTGCAAAACCTAAAATGTTTGTTGTCTAGTGTCCTCTAACAGTTCTGTGACCCCTGATGCCAGGTCAGTTGGACACACTATGTTTCAGTTGTCAACATGTGACATGCTGCCCGGCTCGGCAGAACACCTTTATGACAAACAGCAAGGAAGTACAAGTCAGGAGGTTCTACTTTGCCACACGCGCAGTGCATTTTCTGGGTTCATTCTGTCACGCATACTTATTACATTGGGGCTAGTTTAAGTAATTTGTAAATATTTGAAATCAAATGGATTAGAGCTTTCACTGGACTCAGACCAGTGAATCACAATGGACAGAAGGCACCAGCAGAATATACTGTGGTGGATGGTGTTCACGTTTTTTCTTCTCTGAGCTCTGTTCCCTAACGGAGATGCTGGCGATTTGTATACCGTGACATTCTGTCTGTTTTGCCTTTTTATAGTGCTCCCCAAAGTGTCAGAAGAAACAGTGTCTCCCACCAGAGCCCGGAACATGAAGGACTTTGAAAATGTAAGTGGAGAAACCAAGTTTCTGTCCCTAAAACACCTCGCCCACTGCCGCTGTCTGAGCAGGCCCAGGAGGGAGCTGCACTTCTTGACGAGCGTCTGAGCCGGATGACGCCCGAGTCTGGAGGAACGCCAGGTCTCGTGGTCCTTCTCTGCTCGACTCATGCACCCCGCACAGTCGGCGCGTCAGGCCGTGGGCTGGTTGTGGGTTCCGACAGGGTCAGCAGTGTCCAGCTTGGGGGAGGGTGGTGTGTTCTGTGTCCCGAATGTGAGGACAGGGCCTTACTGCACAGTTGAGAGGAGCTCATGTCTGTCGAGGGCTTTCTTGTGGTGTCAGGCACCTTGTTAATGGTCCCCTTTTGACCTCTGCAGCAGGTCTGTGAGGGGTTTTGTGTTATCACCGTTTTACAGATAAGGCATTACAGGATGCTCCAGCAGCAGAGCTGGGACTCGAATCCCGGTTTTTAATGACTCCAAAGCCATCACTTTTCCCACCGCATTGGGGTGACTCCTGGAGTTCTGTAGGCTTCCTCTTTGTGGCTGTCCAGTGTCCAGTGGAACGTGAGCAGCCTGGACCCAGGCCTGCGGTGACCGTCCCAGGAGGGACGGGTGGGCGATAGATGCGGCTTCCGCGCCCGATGTCTTTCATTTGTTAGTGGAGGGCGCTGGTCTGCAGATAGCAGGGAAATAAGGTTATTTTCCCAATTCCAAATCTTTTCAACAAGTCACCTGTTCAGCACTCTCATTTATCATGGGAGGAATTAGACCCTTCTGCATTTGCAACCAAATGGAATCTGCACTGTGCAGGACAGGGGAGCTATTCATCAGAGGGAGGACGGGGACGCAGGGGGAAGGGCATCCCCCGGTTGTGCTTCTCTCTCCCCAGTTGTCTTTGCCGAGCGGAGCGGTGCTGTCTCTGGCTTTAATTTAGGATGCTCATTACTGCTAATAGTTATCTGCAAACCACCGGTGACCAATCGAAGAAATGACTTGTCAGATCTCTAATGGAAACAAGTAATTTCCGAGCTTTGAGCTGTTATAATTTCAACTGTACAAGTTGATCTATGCTGTGGGGTCTGGGGCCGCAAACGAGTGAGATTTGATTACTTCACATTGTGTATAATTAAAATGTGCTCTGCTACTTAAATGGCGGTTCCTGTTTCATCGTAAGAGTAACAACAGCTGCTGCTCCCCGCGCCGCTGCCCTGAGCCGGGCCCTGGCGTGCGAGGCGCTCCGTGCGTCAGTGCGCTGCGGCAATACTGGAGCCGCGCTGCGAGACGCGGCATTTAATTTACGGAGGGCGCACTTTTGGATTTTATTTCCAGATGGAGAAATTTTATAGAAGCCTGCAGTTTTTGCTGTTCACATTGTACTGTCTGCCTTTTGACCTGAGGGGACTCTGGGAGTGGAATGCGCCTCCGCGTTATATGTAGGAGAAGCCGGGGCCCCGGGGGTGGGGGTGGGGGGACACAGCAGAGCTGTTCTCCGGGCGGTCTGTGCTGCCCAGGGACCCCCGCCTCTGCAGCCGGGCCGCCTGCTCGTCCACTTCCGTGGGGCGGCCTCGGGCCTGTCACCCAACCTGTCTGTGCTTGCCTTCCCGTGGAAGGGGCAGGACATTGGTGTGTGTTCCTTGGTGCTGTTAGGAGGGCGTGTGCGTGGAGCACGTACGCCGAGTCCGTCCCGCGTGTCAGCTGTTGCTCCTTCCTGTTGTTGCTGGGGTGTGTGCTCGTTAGTGCGGGTGTTCCTCCTGCTCGGCTTGTGGTTTGCGTTGCCCTTGCTCAGACGCGCTCCTGGTGACCTAAGTGCTGTTCTTCTTGAAGGCGAGGGAGAGCCTTCCATGCCAGTGTGTTTTAGGATTTATGGATTTTTTGGTAAACATTTTATGACCGTGGTCCTTTGGCTGCTGTTAGGTTTTTATGGCATTAATGTCTTTTACTGTAGTACTTTCAAGAGCAAATCCTTCTGTTGAGATTGAAATAACCACACCGTTTTCAGTGTTTCCCTTTGAGGTCTTTATAAGTGACTGAACATTTTCATCTGGCCTGAGCTACCAAAGGCACGACCTCTCTGTGGAGGTGGTCTGAACTTTCTGCAGGATGCTTATAGGAGATGCTGTTGGCATTTCATGCTTGTTTTACAGTCAGCATACACATTGAAGAGGAGGCTGGAATACCTTCTATGTAAAGGGGAATTCGTGATTCCTCCTCTAGTCTCAGGGAATGGGTGTCTGAACATCAGGGCCTGTTAGCTAGCATCTAGCCAGACAGACGTAGGTCTCCTTCTGGTTTTGCTCAGAGTCCATCTTCCATCAGTAAATATTTTCAGGTATATTCCCTGTGCCGTGCTGTGCCAGGGGCTGGGGAATTTGCACCAGGTTAATAGCAGGCGCATCTCCCTGTCAAGAAGCTCACAGTCTGGTTGGGGAGACGGAGAACAAAATAGTGCAGTGATAGAGGTAAGGACAGGGTGCTGTGGGGCACAGAGAAGGGGCCCTGGACCTGGCCTGGGGGACTCAGGGAAGCCTCCCTGGAGGAGGTGTTTCTTGAGTTGGGTCATCAGGGACAAGAACGGATTTGCCAAGGCAAGACGACTGGGAGAGCGTCGGGACACAAGGACCGACCTGTGCGAATGCAGAGAGAGGCCTGGTAGGGAGTGGTGAGCTTGGAGAGCTGTCAGTTCCCTCTGGCTGGAAGCGGGAGGCTGTGTGCGGGCGCCTGCGAAGAGTGAGGCCATCGAAGCAAGAGTGAGGCCATCGAAGCGGGCGGGGGTCAGCTCCTGTATGTTCCTTGCTGTGCTGGAGTTTGCCCTGAAGGTGAAGGGGAGCCAGTGATGGATTTCAGCCTGGGAGGGAAATGACTGAATTGCACTTTCGGGTCACCCAGACTGGTGACTGCGAGGGGGGAGCAAGGCTGGTGGCCGTGTGATCGGTTGAAGGGCTGCTGCGTGTGGCCTTTTGGGGAAGGGGATGATTCTGGAGCGAAGGGACAGGGCTGTAAGATGTTTAGAAGAAAGGGAGGGATTTCTTTAGGCTCTGAACTTGGGTCTCCTGGCCCAGGAAGTCTTTTTTTTTTTTTTAAGGTTTTATTTATTTATTTTTAGAGGGAGCGGAAGGGAGGGAGAAAGAGGGGGAGCAAAACATCAATGTGTGGTTGCCTCTAGCACACCCCCTACTGGGGTCATGGCCGGCAACCCAAGTATCTGCCCTGACTGGGAATCAAAGCAGTGACACTTTGGTTCGCAGGCCTGTGCTCAGTTTTAAGTTCTGCCCTGGCTGATGTAGCTCAGTGGATTGAGCACGGGCCTGTGAATCGTGAACTAGATGGTCACCAGTTCGGTTCCCAGTCAAGGCACATGCCTGGGTTGTGGGCCACAATCCCCATGGGGGTGCACAAGAGGCAACCACACCTTGACATTTCTCTCCCTCTCTTTCTCCTTCCCTTCCCCTGTCTCTAAACATAAATAAATAAAATCTTTTAAAAAGTATGTTTTAAGTTCTTATGCTGTGCTAGACACAATGCTAAATGTTCAAATTAATTTCTTCTAATCCGTATAATAGCTCTCTGAGATAGGCATTATTATAATCCCACTTTTATAGCTAAAGGAACTGAGGCATAAGGTAAAATGAACTTGACTAAAGTCATACAGCTAGTAAGGTAGTCTGGATTGTATTTTTTAATTTTTTCATTCATTTAACAAATACTAAGTATCTACTGTGTTCTAGGCACTGTGCTAAAACCTCAGGGCCATGAATTGGTAAGGTCCTTGCCCTCAAGAAGTGGATTGTATTCATATAATAAGCATAATAAATAATAAATGTGTCAGCAAACAAGGTGAATACAGACGGTGAGAAGTTCTGGTGAGAAAATAAGAGTTCTGTGTTGGGGTGTGACTTGGTGGAGGCGGTAGGGATGGGGGCCACGTTAGATCAGGTGGTCAGGAAGGGCCTCTGGGTTGGCGTCATTTGAGCCAGGACGGGAAGGAGGAGACGGCGCCACCCTGACCAGGGCTGTGGGAAGGGCTGTGTAGACAGACAGAGGCTGCGCTCTTTGAGGACCGTAAAGGAGGCCAGTGAGGCTGGAACACTGTGAGCAAGAGAGGGGATATACACGTGGAGACCACGGGGCTGGTGGGAGCCAGATGCACAGCGCCTTGTGGCCGCAGGGGGCGTGCTCGTCCAGGAGCCGTGGAGCGGGAGCGGAAACGGTGGAGCGATGAGAGCCTGACCGGTCCGGCTGCTGCCTCCCTGCAGCGCACGGCCTTAGGAAACACTACGGGGCTGATCGCCGGTCCGGCCGCTGGGTATTTAGTAACCGTGTCTTACGTTTTAGACTAGAATGCACCAGAAGATGGTTCCCGATGTCTCGGAGGTGGTTGGGTAGAAAGGCGGTAGCCGGCTGGTACAGTGCAGTGTGGAACTGCTGTGAGCAAGACAGTGGAGGGTGTAAGGAGACATTTAGAAGGGTTCCCAGCCCGGCCCGCCGGGGCTGTCGGAGCGGACTTGGCGGGGGAAGTGGTGCGGAGCCGAGAGCCGACCGCCGCTGCTGTGAGCACAGCGCCTGGGCTTCCTTCGCGCCGTCTGCCGTTCCCCGTGGCCTCCTTTCTCAGGGCTGCTTTACCTTTCTCTTTCTTTTAAAGACAGTGTCTTTACCTATAAATAGGACAAATATTCTCTCACGTGTTCTGTGAAGAATTTTAGCAGTGCATACAATGTGGACATTCTATGCAAGCTCCATAAATATTTTATTGGTGCTGAGTAACAGAGTAAGGTTTCTCTTTATAGGATGCAGCTGGCAGGGCAGACGTTTTTGTTTGAATGAATGTTTTATGTGCTGTTTCCTTAAAACATTCAAAAGGAGGATTTAATGAACCTCCCAATTGTTTCTCCTGCTGTTCTTGTTAGCCAAAATTGTTAACAAGAGGGCCAGAGGCAGACAGTTTGAAAACATAATGTAAAGAAGGCTTATCATTTTTTATCCAGTCATAAAAGTATGTTTAATAAAGAAAGCATTATATGCTATTAGCAATTATTTTTTTAAATGCTGAAAAAACCAATGAGTATATATGTGTGGGGATGTATTAGTATACAAATTCAGCTATTAACATTTTGCTATATTTAATTTTAGTTATTTTAAATTCAACTTGATTGATATATAATTTACATAAAATGAAATTTACCAATTTTAAGTGTTGGATGAGTTTTGGCAAATGTGTACTCTCTTGTAACTTCTATCATAATCCAGATAGATAGATATATATGTATATGTATCTATACATACATACACATACATATGTAATTATAATTTTTAAAAATAGTGTACACTGTTCTAAGTTCGTGTGACCACCATCACCATCAGACTGTGGAACAGTTCCACAGTGCCAGACTAGCCCCATGTGTTGTCTCTTTGTGGTCAGACCCTCTCTTTACCCCAAACCTCTGGTCGCTGTGCGCTGCCCTTCGTCCCTGTAATTTTGCTTTTTCCAGATGTCACGTGAATGGAATCATACAGCATGTAGTCTTTTGAGGCTAGCGTCTCTCCCTCAGTGCAGTGCCTGTGAAATGCATTCACGTTGTGGGTATCACAGGAGCCGAGCATCATTCTATCACGTGGATGTGCCCTGTTTGTTCTTCCGTCCTCGGGAGGACGTTCGGGTTCCTGGCCTCGTGGTGACCGTCAGTGAAGCTGCAGGACGCCTTCACACACGGGTTTTTGTGTGAACGTAGGTTTTGGTTTCTTTACTGAGTCACATGATAGGTGTGGCTTTGGGGTGAGAAGCTGCCGGGCGGTTATCCAGAGTGGCTGCGCCACTTGCGTTCTCAGCAGCAGAGTGTGCGCATTCCGTTTGCTCCACAGCCTCAGCAGCATTTGATATTATCAATTAAATTCTTTAAAGCTAGTTGAGTAGGTGCACTGTAGTTTTAATTTGTATTTTCCTAATGGCTAAAGTTGTTGAAAATCTTTTCTTGTGCTTATCTATCCTCTGTGTATCTTCTGCTGTGAAATTTCTTTTGAAATCTTGCATCTCTTGTTTTTTTTTAAGCTGAATTGTTTTCTTACAGTTGCATTTTGAGAGTTATTTATGTGTTCTGGCTAGAGTTTCTGTGTTGGATATGTGATTTGCAAATATTTCATCTAGTGTGTGGCTTGTCTTCTTATTCTCTTAACACTGTTTTTGAGAGCAAAAGTTTTAAATTTTAATGAAGCCTAATTTATTTAATAAAATTTTTTTGTAGAGGATTTTATTTATTTATTTATTTTGGAGAGAGGGGAAGGGAGGGAGAAATAGAGGGAGAGAAACATCAGTGTGTGATTGCCTCTCGTGTGCCCCTTGCTAGGAACCTGGCCTGCAACCCAGGTATGTGCCCTGACTGGGAGTCAAACTGCAACCTTTTGGTTTGCAGGCCCACGCTCAACCCACTGAGGCACATCAGCCAGGGTGATACATTTTTTTTGTAATGGACGATGCCTTCAGTGTTAGATCTAAGAACTCTGCTGAGCCCTAGGTTCCAAAGATTTCTCCCTATGTATTCTTCTAAAAGTTGTATAATTTTACCTTGCCTCCTTTGTCATGGATTAATTGACCATGTAAGTGTGGTTTATTTCTGGGCTTTCTATTTTGTTCCATTGATCTATGTATTTGTTTTTGTGCTGAGACCATACTGCTTTGATTATTATAGCTTTATAGTATAGTTTGAAATCTAGGTGGATGATACCTCCAACTTTGTTCTTCTTTCTCAAGACTGTTTTGGCTATTCAGGCTTTTTTGTGGTTCTATATACATTTTAGGATTTTTTGTTCTAGTTCTGTGAAAAATACATGGGCATTTTAATAGGAATTGCATTAAATCTGTCAATTGATTTGGGTAATGTGGACCTTTTTACATTATTAATTCTTCCCATCCACGAGCAGGGTATAACCTTCCATTTATTTGTGTTTTCCTCAGTTTTCAGAGTGCAAGTGTTTTGCTTCCTCAGTCAAATTTATTCCTAGGTATTTTATTCTTTTTGATGCAGTTGTAAATGGGGTTGTTTTCTTCATGCCTCTTTCCAATAGTTCATTATTTGTGTATAGAAGCACAACAGGTTTCCTAATATTAATTTGTATCCTGCAAATTTACTGAATTCATTTATTAGTCCTAATAGTATTTTTGGTGGAATCCTTCCTTCCCACTCATTAGAGAGTTGCCGGTATTTTGATAACACCCTTAAGTACTTCACCATGTAGCTATTAGGATATTCTGCATAATCACAATACTATTACCTAATATAAAGCTGTTATTCAAATTTTGCTAGTGATCCCCCCATAGCTTATTTTATTTTTTAATTAAAGATTCACTGTATGATTTCATTGCACTTAGTTGTAATGCCTTTAGTACTTCCATGTATTTAGAAGAATTTCCCAATCACTTTTAATTTAAGATTGTCAGTAAGATTTTTAAAGAGTCCAGGTCTGTTGCTTTGCGGAAGGTCCTTCAGTTTGGATGTGTCTGATTGACAGCTTTGGATTAGGTTCAGGTAAAAGGCTGTGGGCAGAAGTGTTTCAAGTGAGATTGTTTGTTTTCAGGGGTTTATTTCAGGAGACACGAGATGTCAGTCCGCCCCACCAGGGTGATATTAAATACATGAACCCTCTGTATTTGTGTCTTCTGCCTCTGGATTTGACCAACCATGGACATTTTTCCACAGAAAACATTTTTAAAATATAGGTTATATTCACATACTACACCCCTTTATGTAAGGGGCTGGAGCATCTACTAACATTGGTTTCCGTGGGGTTCCTGCAGCCCGTTCCCTGTGAGTCCCTCGGGACGGCGGTGTGTGCCCTGATTAACGTGGTGTCTGCGAGCTTGCTGAATTTTAATTGCACCTTCTCCTCCTGAAGTTGTAAGCCGTCTGCGGGGGGGTACCTCGAGCCTGTGTGGTGTCACGTTGTCCACATCGTTCATCTGATTCCGTTGGCATCGGTGCTCCTGGCCCGCGCCGCCCATCGCTGCAGCGGCTGTGCGCTGGGACCTCCGCCCTGTTCTTCTCCAGTGTGCACTCACTGGATTTCCCTTGGGGAGAAGGGACCCCCTCCCCACCCTCTTCTCCTACATTTACTCACTGTTCTTCTCCTGTGTGCACTCACTGGATTTCCCTTGGGGAGAAGGGACCCCCTCCCCACCCTCTTCTCCTACATTTACTCACTGTTCTTCTCCTGCACATACTCACTGGATTTCCTTTGTGGAGAAGAGACTTCCCTCTCTCTTCCTTTCTTCCTTTACTTGTTGTCAGTGTGGAGTCTTGAGTTCTTTCTTCGCTTGGCCATTGTTCATTCTGACGCTCAGATTGTCCTAAATTTGGTCAGAGGGAACCACTTAACTCTGGGTCGGTACAGGTGTAACAAAGGTGAGCTTCCTCTGGTATTTAACATTTGAATACATTGTAGCCTGTGAGAATTAATGTTGGTGATGTGCCTAAGACCTTTACTTTTGATAGTCCACCTGTGCTTATTTTTTTAGCAAATCACTGAGTTGAAGAAAGAAAACTTTAACCTAAAGCTTCGCATCTATTTCCTTGAGGAAAGAATGCAGCAGGAATTTGATGGCCCCACTGAGCACATCTATAAAACTGTAAGTGTCCCACTTCTTGCTGCCACCCCTGATGCCTTTTCTCACTGTCCTCCAAGCAGAAGTTTGATTGATATTTGCTCTGAGTACGCCTGAATAGAAAGAGCTGCTTTCATTTAATTTGAATTGATTATGGGGAGTATAAAGATAATAGGACGGCCTTAATATTAAACAAAGAGACCCAAGATTAATTTTAAGGTAGTCTTTTTTCTCTTCTTAAAACTGGGTTTCTGATGAACTATAACTCAGTTGCCTTTTTAAAATTATTTGTAATTGAGACAAACACAGTGAAATGGTAGAATGTCTTTGGAATGTAATCTTATTGTTACCAACTAATTTGTGTAACTGTAGGCAGGTCACTTCAGCTCCCTGGGCTTGCCCCAGAGGGAAGTGATAATCCGTGTCACAGGGTTGTTGTTAGTGTGGATAAAGTGAGATGACAGGCGAACGTCCCCAGCGCTCCCCAGCGCTCCCCAGCGTGAGGCCCGTGCTGGACAGCTACCGCCGGCCGAGTGCGGCTTCCATTGGCAGCCCGAAGTTGGGGTTGTCAGTGTTTCTGTGGTGTGCTGCTCCGCACGCTGTACTTGCTGGCTTATCACTGTCGGGAAGAAAGTCTATTTCCATCTGAGGTCTGAGCCTGGAGGCCTCTGCCTGAAAACAGACCTCGGCTCTGAAAGTTGAAAAGACCGTGGCATTCTTGAAAAGACACGAATACAAACAATATTTCAGTGCCTATTTTTTTGGCTTTCTCCAATAGATTAGCCCTTGGCCTGGGAATTACTCCATTTTTTTTTCTCTTCTGAAGTTTATACCTGTGGAAACTTTTGAAGGAGGAAAAAGAACTCTGCTGGAGTTTCAGTGGATGAACTTGAATGGACTTGTCTTGAGGAGGGATTGGATTGTACGGTACTTCTGAGCCTTTTCCAGAAATGAAAAGCTCCCCTGTCCCTCAAGACACAATTTTTTTCTTCATTGTGAGGATGGAAAGACAAAGAGGACGTCCCCTTTTCTGGAAGAAAGTGATGATAGAGTACAATTTTCAAAGAAAAGACAATAGCCTAAAACATTTCATGTGTAAGGGTAGTTACCGCCTACCTCAGACCTTCTGGGGTGGTAGGAAGCCAGGGTGTGCCAGTTGCCTTCCCTGTGTCAGGCCCTGTCCTGGGCCTGTGCACGTCATCCCCTGGATCTGAGTCTCCAGACAGCCCTTCGTGGTGGGGACGGCCCTCACCTAGGAGAGGGAGCCAAAGCTCAGGGGAAGTCAGTAACTGGCCTGATGCCATCGCTGCTACATGAGGTGTATTTCAAACCCAGGTCTGCCCACCTCATTGTACCACACCATCTCAGCGATCCTTTTCCATTGTCTGATTAGATGACCTGATTTTATTGCACTTTTATTGCAATTTAAGTTTGTATATAGTTGTACATGACTCAAAAGTCCAAAAGCTTAAAAGGTGTACACTGGAAAGGCTTTCTTCCACCCCATCCCTTGTCCCCTAGGTCTAACCAAATGACTGGTCCCTCAGGCAGAGAAGTTGTATGTGAATGCAAGCAAGTGTGTGCGCGAATGTATACATGTGTAAGTCCCCTGTTTATGTAAGTGCAAGCATATTCTGTTCTGTAATCTGCACTTTTCCTTAATAATATCTGGCATATCTTTCCTTAATAGTGGGTCAAAGCTTCTTTATTTTTTTATACTGATAATCTGTTTCATGCTACTAAGGTGCCTTGATTTTTGGTTTAGAAATTATGGTTACCACGTATTTAAGTTTGTAATTTGAGGTATTGGGCTTGCAAAAAATAGTCTAGTGGACATGTTAGTTCTCTGTTCTATTAAATTTGCTGGGCTGGAGTGCCAGCTGGCTCCTCCGAAAGCAGAGCACTCGGAGTCTCAGCAATCAGCTCTCACATCGCTCTTTGCTCCTCTGAGAGCTGCAGAGGAGCCCTCAGTTCGAAGGCTGTTTCTGTGGTTTTCCCAGAGCTGCCATTGAAGACACAGTGCACTGACCCTCAGGGTCCTTTGTGCAAAGGTTACTGTCTTCCAGAAAAAGTTCTGCTGCATGAATGACTTCTTCTGGTTCTTGTTGTTTGACGATGAGGAAAACAGCATATTCTGAGCCTGGTCTTTAGGCTTTTCTCATGCCTTAGCTCACTTCGTCCTAAAATCCCCCTGGGTAGGTGGGCTTTGTGATTTTCATTTGTCACTTGGGGGACCTGAAAGGCAAAACCTTGCTTTCTTGCCTCCTGGACTTGCACTTCTGAGGACGGTTACAGGCTCCCACTTCCAGTTCCCTGCTCCACGGTAGCTCGGAGGCAGGGCCTGTGTCTGCCGGCTCACCAGAGTCCTCAGGGCCCAGCCCAGTGCCTGGCCCGTCACAGGGATGGTAACTGTCGGTGAAGAGGGGGAATGAATACATGAGCATCTGCTGACTTACTACAGTTTCCATTTGGTGAAGAGTGGAGGCGGAATTCGAACCCGTGTCCTTCTGACTCCACACCCCTGGCCTTTCCTTTCATCTGACTTCTCAGTGTGGGGATCCCGCGGTGCTGCTTGGCTGAAAGGAGGGAGAGCCATGTCCTCCGAGATTGTAAATTTTACTGGAAATGTTATTTTTATTTAAAATGATACTCATGTATTATGGAGTGGAATGCAAAATTGGCATGAATTATTAAAACAGGAGCAAGATTTCAAAGAGAACCTGGAATTATAGCAGTTCTTTGAGAACCTTTCGCCCAGACCCCTTTCTACCACGGAGACCCATCTGATGCCCGGTCTGGGCTACATCTGTGGGCTGGTTCGGGAAGCCAGCCTCTGTCCCACTGTCTCACGTTGCGATCCGCTCGCTACAGACTCTGTCTTCGGACTCGCATGTGAATGAGGAGCCCAGGGCCACGTGCGACGTCCTTCCTCCTCGTTGGTTACGAGGAAGACATTTGGTTGGTGAACACTGCGGTGTCCCTAATAGACAGTTTGCCGTGTACAATTGTGGCTCTTTCGTGAATTCCCTGAAATCTCACATTGAAATGAGACAGGCAGGGATGGGGCCTCCCATTTATCTGTCCACATGTTTATTTTTTTAAGCTGTAAAATGTTTCCACTGCTGCAGCCAGCACATGTGTGATGGTAAACAACCAGCAGTAATTGCCCTGGAATGGTAAAAACAAACTGCAGAATTGCTTGTAAATTTGCTTGGTGGAGGGCAAACAGTTTTTAAATCGGCCTCCCTTGTATGACATTTATGCCTTGATGTTTGAGTGCTCTGGCTGTTAGAAGCTTGGAAAATTTACATAATTGTTTCAAGTCTTGAGAAATCGGGGGCTTTCTTTTGAGACCACCAGTGTTTAATAATTCCCTTTTCCCTGTGCCCTGAGGCTAATGAGGTTTCCAGTCTAACAGCTACCTATTACAAGCACGGCGTAGTCAGTCCGCGAGGAAAGTGGTTTCCCCACGGTGGACAGTGCGGCCTGTAGTTTTACGCTGTTTCTTTTCTTCCCTGATCTCATCTGAAAGAACATCGAGCTCAAGGTGGAAGTGGAGAGTCTGAAGCGGGAGCTCCAGGAGAGAGAGCGGCTGCTCGTCAAAGCCTCGTGAGTACCTGTCGTCCCGTCCCCGTCGTCCCCGGCGTCCCCGTCACCAGTGCGAGGGGCGCCCAGGGCTCCCCCACGGGCGGCCACGTGGGCTGTAAAATAGAGCCCTGTGCTTTCCAACCCGTTGTCCTCCAGCTGGGCTTGGAGGGCCCCAAGGAGGGTTCGTTTTTATTTAATTATGTTTCAACAAACTTTTACAGTTTGTGGGAAAATGAGCAGATCTTACACGGACAGCAGGATGGATTTTCACTAAGCAGAGACACCTGTGGGTCACCGTCCTGATCGGAAACCAGCACGTCACCAGCCCCCAAGAAAGTCCCCTTATGCTCCCAGAACTTACCTTCTCTCGCAAAGATGGTCCCTTTGCTGACTAGTAGTGTCGCTTAGTCACTAGTCATTGCTTAGTTCTGCCCATTTCTGAACTTGGTAGAAACGGAATCACGTGCTATGCATGCACCCTTTTGCGTCTGGTCCCTTTCCTCAATGATATATTTGTGAGATCCATCCAGATTTTGTAAGTGTATCGTTAGCTCACTCATTGCTGTAAAAGCCCTAGGGGCATAAAGGGGCCCCGAGGGACCCCCGTGGGAGGTGAGGCAGTGGGGCAGGGGACGGCGCTTCCGCCAGAGTAGCTCATTTTTCTGTCTGTTTTGCTTAAAGAGCATTTGAAAACTGTTGTTTTGATTAATTATTTCTTAAACAACAAGCGCAGTTCAGAGAATATAACCAATGACTCAATTGGTTATTCACTCATTCATTCATAAACATTTATGACATAATTACTCGTGCTACACGTGTTTTTGAAAAGAGATATTCCCTTACTGCAAGAGCTCATCAGAGACTGGTGACAACTCACCGTGCAAACCAAGTGCAGTGGAGGTACATTGGTAGTTTGTGGGTACAGTGGGGATACCGGAGTGTGCTGAGTTTCGGTGGGTGAGAGTGGAGTAAGACTTCCCGGGGCTGCCTGTCCCAGAATTGGGCTGAAAGCTTATGTGGAACTGCTGCATCTGTCACGGCAGTAGAGCCCCTGCTGGATGCGGGGCCGGGAGCAGGAGTCTGCAGCCTGGGACGCAGCTGCACTGCCCTGGGCAGGGCCGGCTGCTGGAAGTCAGACTGCTGTTAGCTCTGAGCAGACTGCAGGTTCCCAGGTCCCGCCTGACCTTGCTCACCTGGCATTTTCTGAGTGAGCGAATGAATAAATGAATCCATTGGAATAATAAGTTTTTGTTTTTGGTTTTTCTTCCAGAAGTACATCATTCATCATTCTTTAGGCAGGGAGTCAAACTTACATTACCAGGCCTGGAAGTCAGTGATAGAATCTGGTCTGGGCTCTCCCTGCTGCGCCTCTTGAGCAGGACTTGCTTTCAGTCACGCGTGTCCACGGGGGAGCCCCGGCTCACCGAGGCCTCGTGCACCCCTCAGCACCAGCACTCAGGGCGCGCGCTGCGGGGGCGTGTGCGCATGTTTGTGTGCGTAGATGCGCCGAACTGCCCAAACTAGTGTTCAGAACCCTTCAGGTCCGATCTGACTTACCAGTTGATTGAGAATGTGTTTATTAAACGGCTGTGCCGTGCCGCATGGGACTCGGCTCCTGGGGACGCAGTTTGATCCAGACAGACACGTGGGGCCTATGGTCTAGTGGTGGTGATGAGGATAAAATACTGCAACTGTATTTATATCTCAGTACCGATTGGGAGAAGGGCTGTGGGGAAAATAAAGGGAGCCGTGGGAGTTTGTAGCAGTGGAAACAGACATATAGTATAGGTTGTTGCAGGGAGGGGGCCCTGAGGGGGTAGCATTTGAGATGAGGTCGGGGGTGTAGGCAGGCATTAACCGGGTGAAGGGGAAAGGAGTGTGCAGGACGGAGGCAGTCGGAGAAGGCTGGGGGGCTCGGCCTGTCTTGCAGGATCTGGAGGCCTCATTGGAGAGTTTGGTCTTACCCTCACATCAAAGCGAAGGTAGTCATGGGCTTTAAGCAACTGACACAATCAGAGTTTTGTTTTCTAAAAGGTCACTCTGGGTGCTGAGTGGGAAGCGTTTTGCAGAGGGGGCAGGAGTGGAAGCAGGGGGCCAGTCAGGAGGCTGGCCCAGGAGTGTGGGTGACAGATGAGTGACAGGTGGATGGGCGGGTTGCAAAGACACAGAGGAAGCAGAACCAACAGGACTATGTAGGGGATGGGAAGGGGGCTGTCGGGGGTAGGTTAGGGGTCAAGACTGTGAGCTCTGTGTGGGAACGTCCACAGTGACTCAGCTGCTCCGGCGTGTTCCCCACCGACGTTGTGTCTCACGCACAGCTCGCAGATCTAGAAACGTCGCTGTTCCTGCTGCTCCTGCTGCTCGGCCCTCTTCCCCTTCCAGCCCTTCTCAGCCGAGCGCCTTTCCCGTCGCCACCCTGCATAGCGCCTCCTGTTGGGTCACACGTGGAAGCTCACACCTGTCTTTTCACCAACTTCTCTGGCATGTAATGACAATCCCACTTGTGGGCCGCACTTTTCAGCTTATAAAACACTTTGATATCCGTTTGCAGTCAGTCCATCATTATCCTGCAAGTTCTTCAGATCCCGAGGAAAACCTCATTTGAGAGTGGAGGGAATTTAGGTTTGGAGAAGGGAAGGGCCGTGACTTAAACCACTCAGCCAGGAAGATCAGAGTTGGGTTAGAACTCAAGTTTGTGACTTCTGGTCCAGCACGAGGTTTCACATTCTTTTTTTATTTTCACATGTGTTTCTCATTTCTTTAACATGACTGGGCATCCCCTTAGCCAAGAACCTCTTCCTTAGCGGAGTACAGGGTGGTGGAAGGGGCGGACAGGGCCTTCGTGTGGGTTCCCTGCCACGGAGTCCGCACCCCGTCTGCCACCGGCCTGTGCTCTGTGCCTCTCCCCTTGCCTCTGACTGCCTGGCACCCAGCATGGTGTGTGTGGTGCGTACCTGCTGATGGAAAAATGTCTTTTTTATTAATGCCCTCCACTTCCTTTTTGATATCATGGTTGTTTCTTTTTTGGGTGGATGGGAGAACTATAATTGGAATGGAAAGAATCAAGAGGAAATGTTGATGGTTAAAAAGAGTAGCGAGGGTGGTGTTTGCAGAAGGTTCGTTTTTGCATTGGGCGGAGAGCTGGATTGGGCCAGTGTCTCTCCGCCTTCCCTCTCCTGGGGTCTTGCTGTCTGTCTCCTCTGTGGGACCGGATTCTACAGGGAGGGAACTAACATTTATTGAGAACCTTCTTAACCCCTAACCCTGTGCCTGGTACTTGACACGCTTGATCATGTCAGTTAGACTTTACGGCAGCTACGCGAGGCAGCTGCTGTTCCCATTTGAAGGAAAAGTTATACTCGGGCTCGGAGGAGCGGGCGGCCCGTCCAAGGGCTCTGCGGCCCGTTCTCCCGCGCTGTGGAGCGAGCCGCTGTGCTCGCTGACTTTCCATTGTTGTATTCATCCGTTACCGTAAGGGGACATTAAAAACAAAAGCAGACATATTGTCGGGAGTAAATTTTATTTCTGTAGCTTTAAAACACAAACAAAAATAATAATTCCATTAGTAGAGGAAAATGGCACCATACTGCTGAGTATAAATTTTATTGCTACAGTAACTGTAAAATACAAAGATGATAAATGAAAAGTTGGAACATTTATTATTGGGAGTATATTTTATTGATATAACTAAATGCAAACAAACTGAATAATGCCAGATCTTGTTAAAAATTGTAGTCGGCCTCTTGATGATGTATGTGAGGCTGACTCTACAACACGGAGGTTTGGTCTGGGCGGGTGGGGGGAGCCGGTGGATTTGCACCTGCTGGGTGGGGTGGAGGGTGGGGGCGGGTAATTGAGCCATTTCTAGAGGAGGCTCTGGAAGGCCCAAGGGCTAAAACATTGGAGGGGGTTTGAGGAAATTCAGGACTGGAAAATTCTGTATCCAAAGCTCAGGGAGGAAAAGCTTCTAGTCCAGAAAATTCTGTATCCAAAACTCAGGGAGGAAAAGCTTCTAGTCCAGAATTCTTGCAGCCGTGTAGCATGACCTCTTGAGCAGTGACAGAAGTGGTTGTGTGAACTCCAGACAGTCTTAGTCAAGAAACGAGCTGAGGGGTGGGCTCAGGACATTGCATGGCGTGAATCAGGGAGTGGCAGCGACGGCCTGAGTTCTGGCCGGCAGATGATCCTTCCTCAGCTCAGACACCAGCAGGGGGTGGAATGAGGCCGCTAGGGGCATCTCAGCAGGGGCAAGCACTGCGGTGGCGGTGGCTGGGGCACAACAGGCTGTCTTGCAGCACTCAGATCAGAGAGGCAGGAGCCCCGTGCTGTTAGCACATGCATTCTGAGAGGTTGTCACCTCATCTTTCTAATGAGGAAACTGAGGTGTAAGAGCTAAGTCACCCATAGTGACACGGAGGACATAACAGAGGAAAAATTTGGAAGCAGATCTCTTCAGCTTAAGAGCCCCTGTGCTTTCTTTCCAGTTGTTCACATTGAATTCCGTTCAAGGGGTATCACGACACCAGGGCCTTGTGCAGGCTCACTGGTGGAAGGGACATGATGTGAATGTTTGAGACTTGGGCAGCAAGAACAGCCCTCTTGACTTTCCACTGTTCTCGGTCGCAGATTCACATGGCCGGTGCACGTGCGTGTCTGGTCGCGTGGCTCTTGGTTGGGAAAGTCTCACACACCCCTCAAGCAGGGCTTGGGAGGCTGGTGGTGAATAGAGTCTGAGAAACCAGCTATAGGGGGAGCCATTTCCCTTATGTTATTCTGCCTTCGGGAAACCCGCAGTCATTTGAGGAATGTGCTGAGAGCGGCTCTGGGTGCGTCTCACGTGTGGTGCCCGCCTCTGCTTTTCTTCTGGGGAGAACCAGAATGAGAGGCGTCCGTGGCTGTGGTCCCGTGTCTGATTTCCGTGTGCCATCCGTCCCCACCCCTGCCTGTCCCATGGAGAGTGACCCGTGGTGCCACAGCGACAGGGGGGCTCTGCATCTCACGCCCGAGGAGCACGGGGTGGGGGCCGCTCTCGGGTCTCCTCCCCACGCCCTGAGCAGCAGCCAGTGCTCGCAGAGCGGGGCTGCGGTTCAGGTGCTTCCCCTCCGGCTGGCCAGGGATGAAGCAGGCAGCCCCGTGGAACTTCCTCAGATTCACCGTGTTTTACCTGTTTCCTCCTGCGGTGGCTTGTCTGACCAGCTTCCACCCTCCCTGCCGCTGGGGGAGGTGCACTTTGTTGGGAGTTTCCTGGTGAGAAACTTGCCAGTAACTGTCAGAGGAGTCTTAAAAGAGTATTTACACTTTAACCTAGTGGTTCGCTTTCTAGGAATTGACGTTAGGGAAGTCCCTGGATAGTATGCATACAAGGATGCTTTCATCGTAACATTGCTTAGCACAATGTACCATAACTCTGACATTTGTTGAGTACTTTGTACTGAGCACTGTTTCTCGAGCTGCTTAAGGATGATCAGACAGATGTGTAAAATCAGAAGTAATCTAAACGTTTTTAAAATAGGGGTTGATTTAATATATACTGAAAATTAATATGTAGCCTTTAAATATTAATTTGTACTGACACAAAAGGATGTTTATAGTGTGTTAAGCAGTAAAATCAGATCACAGATGTGTGCTGCATGATTCTGTTTTTGAAGAAGACACCTCAAAGGTTGTACACTGAAATGTTACCTTAGCTGTGCCGAGTGGTGAGATTATAAATGACTTACTTTATTTTTAAATAGTATATATATATATATTTAAACATATTTTCTCTTCATCCTCACCCAAGGATATGTTGATTGATTTTGAGAGAGAGGAACAGGGGTGGGGAAGAGACATCAATGTGAGAAAAACATCGACCAGTTGCCCCCCATCCACGCCCCAGCTGGCAGTCAGACCCACAGCCTAGGTCTGTGCCCTGCCTGGGAGTCAAACCTGCAACCTTCTGGCCGTGGGACGATGCTCCAACCAGCTCAGCCACACCTGCTGGGGTCATTGGATGCTTTCTGTATGTGCCCTGAACAGGGATTGAACCTGCAACCTTGGTGTGTGGGGATGATGCTCTAGTCAACTGTTCTACCCAGCCAGGGCTAAATAATGTGCATTTTTATTGACACATCACGGACATATAAGATTGTGTAAGTTTAAGGTGCACAACCAGTTAATTTGACACATTTATATATCATATTATCAGTGTTTTTTGAGTTACAGATGTTAATTAAAATAGCAGGCCCGGGGGAGTAGTCCTTGTATCTTGGGTGCCTGCAATCGCTACCTAACTGTGGCCCTTGTTTGCCTCCTTCTGCAGCAAAGCAGTCGAGAGCCTGGCCGAAGGGGGCGGCTCTGAAGTTCGGCGGGTGAAGGAGGACGCTCAGAAGAAGGTGAAGCAGGTCGAGGACCTCCTGACCAAAAGGATACTCCTTTTAGAAGAGGCAAGTCTGGAGACCCCGAGGAGAAGGGTTTCTTACAGTAGGCCAATAATGGAGTGGGCGCAATTGTGTCTTTCCGCCTCGTAACTGTCAGAATTTCCGCAGACACGACAGCTGTCCTCACTGCGCATCTCTGTGGCTCCAGCCCCATTCCGGGCGCTCGGCAGAGAGAATCTGTACCCTCACCCCCTGCAGACTGGCCATTACTGTCTCGTTCCTATAGGAGAAGACCCTGAGGCACGGAGAGAAGCACTATCCAGTCCCAGTTTAACCCTGCATGTAGATGTGTCACTGCCGATTTGAAGCCCCGAGTTCCTGCTGCACTGCTCCTCCTGTTATCTAGCTCAGTGCCTTTCTTTTCCTGAAGTGGAAACTGAGGCCCCGAGAAGGAAAGTGACTCACCCGTCATTAGCTAAGGCTGGAACCAGACTTTCTGACTGATGGGCCATTGTGTGTTTGTGCAGTGCTGTCCCCAGCGTCCAGCCCCCACCCCTCCATCCCGCCTTCCGCAGCGTCCAGCCTCCCTGCGCCCTCCCACCAGCGCTGACCGAATGCCCCTCTCAGGGAGGCGCTGTGTGCAGCAGCTCCTCCCTCTGGTGCTCAGTCGGATGCTTCCTGTGACCGGTGGGAGTCGGGGTGTCTCTTGCGTAGGAAGGCCTGGCTCCTAGGTGCTAAAAGAAGTTTCCTCCACTTACAGCCAATGTTGAGTAAACCAGTTGCTGGATCCTTGGTCTTCGGAGTCTGTTGTTTCATTTCACTTTCTCTCTCTGCAACCCTGATTCTTGTCGCAGGTGTGAGGAGAAAGAGCAGCAAAAAGCACTTCTGATGCAAAGAGTGGATACATTTGAGGGCTGTATTGTGCAGCTTATTACAGTGGTCCTTTCCGGTCACGGCGTTCAGGTTGGCCCTGGGGTCCGCTCCCTGGGGCTGTGGAGATGTCAGGTTGATCACGCGGGTGAGGAAAGGGGCTCGGAGAGGGTGAGAAACCAGGCGTGGTCGTAAGCGGTGGGGCTGCGTGGGACCTCTCTGAGCCCAGGAAGGGTCTCTGAGTCCAAGCTCTGAGTTTTAGTTCAGATGATTGTGAGACTTTCCGGACACTTAACCTAATCTTGTTCATTCATCCTATTTTTCCCACTAAGTGCTTCCCAATGATTTCAGGTGCCTGCACAACCGACACCTGAATCCCTGCTCTGTCACTTACCAGCTTCGTCACCTTGGATAAAGCATTCGCCTTCCCTGAGCCTCTGCCTCTCCCTCTGCAAAATGAGGCTAGTGCCGCCTGCTTTGCTGGAGTCATTGTAATGCGACAGCAGGGCAGCTAGCCATTTGTCAGGGACTTACCACAGGCGAGGCACCCTTCTCAGCGTTTGCACACGCTGATGTAGGTAATCCCCGCAACAAACCTAGGACGTAAATGCTTTAATCACCCTCTAACAACAACATGCAGTGCTGGCACAGAGTGGCTGAGTCACTTGCTTAAGGTCACACAGGCAGAAAATGCCTGGAGGTCTGGCTGCAGAGCCTGCATTCTAAACTTCTAAACTGCGGCAGTCTGTCACTTCTTAGGGCGAACGGAGTGAGGACCAAAGGTAGTATTTATAAATAGAGCCTGGCATGGAGTCGGCTCTCAGTAAATAAGAGGGTTTGTCGTTTGGTCTCAGCAAATTGGGAAATGGTTTTTCCCAGCTGTCACTAAGATTGACAGGCAGGCCTCTCGGGGAGACAGTGTTGGGGGAGGCACTGGAGGGAAGGGAAGGACAAACCCGTTTGTCCGAGTTTCCTGTGTTGCAGCAGGCCTTTGACAGGTCTCACAACAATTCTCTGACATGATGGTGGTTATCCTTGTTGTATAGGGTGGGAAGCTGGGGCTCAGAGAGGTTAAGTGACTACCCAGGGTCACACAGCAAATAAGTGGGAGCTGGGTTTTGAACAGTGGGATTTCACGTTTATGTCTGTGTTGTAATCAGAGGCAGTTGGCATGAGTAGTCGGAGATGCCCGGCTACTCCCAGGTCCCTTTCCTGAGCACCAGGGCCTCTTCCCCTAACAGGACCCTGCCTACGGGACTGAGATAATTTCCTTGTTGCTTTCTCTGAGCGCTCTGGATGAACGTAGAGTTTTCCACCACCTAAATCACTTTGGAGATACGGAAAATGTACTTTAGGGTTGTGTAGTCATCATCTTAAAAAACACTGGGGAGGGGGCGGTGGGGTGTGGGATGGATTTGCGTGGAGATTATGGTGCCTCTTTGAAATTTATGTATGTTTAGGCATTGAGAGGCGCATTTCTCCTTGTTCTCATTGAGCTGTAAATATTGATCTGATTTTTCAAAACCAAACCGGTTCCTACAGAGTTGAGTCTTTTCCGTTGGAAATGCCTATTAGTCTTCCAGATACAAGACGGAAGGACGGCTGGCAGATGCCTTTATTGCCGGTTCTCCCCGTGTGTGGCGCAATTCGGTGGGGGGGAAGTGTGCCAGAGAAAAAGTCATAAATATTTATATTTTAATCCAATTTCCTTTCAGAGTGTTCCCAATTGTATTGAAAAATTGCATCACGTGCATTTAATTTAACTCCAGGAAGTGCAGGCTGCCCAGGCGGACCTGAGAAAGGCCTTCGCAGGGACGGAGGCGGAGAGGGCCCTGCGGCTGGGCCTGGAGAACAGGCTTTCGGAGATGAAGAAGATGCACGAGGGGAACGTGGACGTGGCCGTGGCCCTGGAGGAGAAAGACAGGTCTGGCTCTGCCCCTGCGACACCTGACAGTTATTTGTCTGGCGGCATGGGGAAAGAATTGTCCCCTCCCCCTTCCTCCCCTCCCTGTCCCCACGGTGAGAAAACTAGGACTGTGAGGGCAGAGAGAGAGAGAGGTAGTAGATAGAAATTCATGCTGGAGCTTTCCACTCAGAAACTAAATTCAGCATTCAGTTTTGGCTGTAAGCTTCCCAGTAGCCAAAGGAAAAAGGGAAAAACAACCTTGATTTCCCTTTTTCCCTTAATCTTGACAGGATTGAGGTGACAGAACTACCGGACGAGAGAGAGACGAATGGTAGAAGGTAGATGCACGTGTTGGCTCAAAGGGCTTGGGGGCTGATTGGATCTGCGGCTGAGGGAAAGGCTGCAGAGTTACCCCTCACCCAGACGAGCCGTGGTGGGATGGTAGTGCAGTTTGCCGAGTTTGGGGGGTGAAGGGAGAAAGGTGTTTTTGGGCAGAGGGAGTGGGACCATGAGCTTTCAGTTGGGACGTGTTGGGTTGAGGGATTGTGGGCACCCACCAGGAGAGTCGAGATCGGGCCTGTGGACTAAGGCCTGAGTGAGAGGAGCTGAGGATTCGTTCCTGAGCCAGCTGCTGAGCACGGCCGCGCTGGGTGCCAGGAGTTCAGAGATGAGCACTGTCTTCCTTAAATGGAGTTCCCGAGGGTGTGTGTATGGGGGGGACAGAGGTAGAAATAGATTGGTGCTGGAGGTAAGTTCAGGGTTCTGTGCTGAGACAAACGTGAGGGAGTGGGACTGGCCCGCTCTGCCTGGGTGCGGGGCAGGGACTGCTTGTCAGAGGAGGAGCGCTGGGGGCCCTTGAAGAAGCCTGGCCTCCAGAGGGCGTGGCACGTGCGAGGGTGTGGAGCCCGCCTCATTTCAAGGTCATTGAGGAGAGTGCAGGAACTTGGGTCCTTATCTTTTTGGAAAAGGGGACTTGGGAAGGGTTATTGCTCACAGTACTTGCTGGTCCAAGCGGTGGGGTCTCCGTGGATGTGGGTGGTCTGGTCATGGCCTTGCTAAAGGCTTTGTCTTCCTGGGGTTTCCCATAGGTCTGGCTGGGTGGGCACAGAAGCCGACTTGTCAGACCTGCAGATGCGCCTGACCCGGGGGTAGGTGTGCCCCAGTCACATCCCAGACAGCAAAGCAGCTGCCAGATGCCCACTGTGGGCCTCTGCTCGCTCAGGGTGTGGCCCTCCCTGGTGGAACTCCCCTGGGGCGAGAAGCACCGTGTTTCCTCCCTGAAGGCAGGCCTGTCTCGGAAGCCAAATCAGTGTCAGAAGGTGATGGAATTGGAATAGGCACAGAACCGGGATAAGGGTCCTCGGCCATGCCCTGGCCAGGTGGGTTCACATCTGCTGCCCGGGATGACTGCGCTATGGGCAGGGCCCTCACAGGGATGTGTTTCCGGCCCCACCCCCACCCTTTTTGAAGGTACATATGGCAGCTGCTTGTTTTCCTTTGATCAGACCTTAAAGCTCTTCTGTATCTTTAAGGCACTGACAGTGAGGGGCCCAGCAGGTCAAGTTTGGCCAACAGATACGTTTTATCTGATTTTTTTTGAAGTTTAACTAGTTTTTAGTATTTTAAAAAAATCTAATTTTGTGTAAGAGTCTGGATTTCCAGATGCTCTTGAAAACCCGGGAGGTGTGGGAGGACCGGGCCGTGGTCTTGCTGGAGAGCTGCTGCCCCGCTAGGTGGGCCTGGTGCTCCCGCTGGGCTGCAGCCCCGCAGGCCCGCCCCGCTCATGTCCACCCCTTGTAGGGCTTGCTTTAAGTTAGCTAGAAAATCAGTTCCATTGAGGTGTGAGTTGGACACACACAGCACATCCATTTTCATGTACAGTTGGATGACTTCCACCTCTCCAGCTGACTGACTGATGGTTTCAGAGTTGAGCCCCTAGAGGGCGCTCTTACTCCTCTTTCCTGGTTTTGGGGGCCTAGTGCTGGGGCCGCCAGTTCCCTCTGTATCCAGTTGTCTTGGTCCATTTGGAGCCATAGCAGAATTCCACACACTGGGTCGTTTGTGAACAATAGAAGTTTATTTCTTACAGAAGTTATTTGGGACGCTGAAAGTCCAAGATCAGGGTGCCCGCCAGCGTAGTCAGGTGAGGGCCCCGTTTCAGGTCCTGTTTTTGTCGTGTCGCCACCTGGCGGAAGGGGCAGGGGATCTGTCCACAGCTTCACTGATACAATGCCACGCCCATCCGTGGGAACTCCGCCCTCATGACCCCATCTTCCCCCAAAAGCCCCCGCCTCCTAACGCCAGCACTGTCCGGAGACACAAATGTTCAGACAGTGCCCCTGTGCATTGCCAGGTGCTGTAACTGCTTTTAGTGCTCTCTTCCCACCTTCACCCTGGGAGCGTGTCCTCTTTTCTACCAGAGCAAGTTGCTTTGTAGGCTTAGCTACAAACACCCTTCTTAGGGTCCTTTGACAAAATGCTAATCATTGAGTGCTAAAAAGAAAAGTAATAATTATAGCAACTGTCATTTGTTGAGTCCTGCCATATGCCTGGAGCTGTGTAGGGCCGTTTTAAATAGCTTATCTCCATTCCACATAAGCAAGTTACCCCCATTTTATAGCCGAGGAAACGCAGGCTGAGAGAGCGTAGATAATGTGGCTGCTGTCAGGGAGCAGTGGGCAGAGGCAGTTTGCTGGCCTGGAGAAGGACACGTTCAGCTCTCCCTGAGGGGTCTGGGGGTGTCCATTGGCAAAAGTTCTCTGAGGAGTCTTTGAGAATAATGAGAATAACGCCCCACTAGGCCTGGAGGGACTGTGGGCGTCTGTCCGGTGGTGGTGGTGGCGGCGGCAGGAGTAGAGTCGTGAAGGCAGCTCCGGGCACGGGGTCATGGAATGCAGGTGCGGGGGCCCCACCCCACCCAGCCTCTGGAGAGGACGCACTGGGGCCTCTCGGGTGCAGGCCCAGTGAGCTCAGGCTCCACCGCCTCACCGAGGAGTTTAGCTTTTGTCTTGAAAGACAGTATATTTTAACCTTTGGGAGGTTGGGTCGACCTGAGCCAGGCTGGAGGTGAGGGCACAGTTCATGTCACATGAGTTCTGGCCTTTAGTCCCTGAATTGGAAAGTGCAGCTTCGTCTGTGGTCAGTCATCGGACACGTCTACTTTGAAGATGTCTGGCCCCATTTCCGACCTCCTCCTGCTCCACTGAGCTAAGAGAACAGCTTAGAATTAATATTTAAATTTTACTCTCTTTTAGACTGATTGAGGAGTTGAAACTGTCTTTGAAGAGCAAAGAAGCTTTAATTCAGTGCCTTAAAGAGGAGAGATCTCAGATGGTGTCTCCTGATGAGGATGTGTCATCGGCAGAGCTCCGAGGACTTCCTGCTGCTCTGCGGGAGGAAAAGGGGAGAGAAACCGAGGTGAGGTGGCAGGACACCCACGGAGGGCTTTAATGAGCAGATCGGACCGAGGGAAACGGGATGCTCACCCAGTCCCCACGGCTCTCCCACAGGCTGCTTCTCAGTGTGCCCCCGTTAGCTGAGGAGTGGGCAGAACCTTCCTCTGCCGGGGGCCCGGCGTCTTCTCTCCCTTCCCGGCTTGTGTTCATGCAGCTGGTTAAAAAAATCAGTCCCTACCTGCACGCCTCTGTTTCACTGTGTGTTGATTGGTTGTGGCCCAGGGACTTTGTTTTCACCTGTGGGTTTTCTTAGGGTAACACTGTGGTACTTACCTGGTTTACCTTTTCCAGCTAGAGGCAGGCTTAAGGCCAACTCTGGTCTGAAACTCAGAGGCCGTGGGGGCAGGGCACCAACCTGTATTGGGCTGCAGCTCACAGAGGGATTTAGCGTGCTGCTGCCTTGAATCCAGGCCATGCTGCAGGGTAGAGATCACGGTCCCTCGCTGGGTTTAGAAACAGGCTCAGCACAGAGGAGTTATTATATTTTCCTAGGCTCCAAGAGGAGGTGGGTTACTAGTACCGACCCTAAAGCCTCCCTGGACCGCCCCCACACTAGGCGGCCTCCACGATGAGCTCTTTTGAAGAGGGTGGGCAGGACTGGAAGTGCAGGTAGGCCTGGTCCAGACCTCCCCGTTCTCGTTGGACCAAGGCGGCGGCTGGGTGTGGTGTGTTCTCCTTAGGAGACATTCTGCGTGCTCCTGCAAAGTGTTGATTTCCTTGTGCAGCAGGGTCTCCTTTGTCCCGGACACAGCAGTGAATTCTCGGGCCTCACCAGTTAGTCTCTGGCTGTCATAGACCTCCGTCCCCTGCCCCTTCTGACCCTCCGTCTCACTCCCGTGGCCCTGTCCTTTTTCATCATCCAGTAGCTCCTGGCTTGACTCTCTGTGGGGCTGGTGGTCTGCGAGGGCGGATCGCTCATCTGCACATCTTTCTTCACTCGGGTGGGACAGGAGTGGACAGTTGCTTTCATGAGTTCCACGGCAGGGGGAGCAGCAAGTAGATAAGGTGCTCATTCTAATTGTCCTGGGGAAGCTGTTGGATTGTGGGTCTCTTCTGGTCCCCAATTAATGCCTTTTCATAGGCTGCACAAATGGAGCACCAGACGGAGAGAAATCGCTTTGAAGAGAGGATCCAGGTATGTTGATGCAATTTTTAAAAATGTGTTGAAGATTTATCCTAGACTCTTGCTTTATTCTGAGTGCAGGAGATAATTCTGTGTGACATTAGCTGTCACTCGTTGAATGCTACCGTCTGCCAGCCAAGCTTTAGGCGCTGTGGAGAGGGTGTCTCAGTCTTTGTAACAGCTCTGGGAGGCAGGCATTCCCATCTTGCAGATGTGGCATGTGAGGCTCAGAGCGTGAGGTCCCTTCTCCAAGGTCACATAGCTGGGAGGCGATGCAGCAGGGACTCGGACTTGCAGTCTGAGTGCAAAGCCATTGCTCCGTGGCCCCTCTGTCCCAGCAGCTGGCATTTGTATAGCACCTGCCGGCTCAGAAAGGACTTGCCCGTCTGTGATCTCCTTTGATCCTCACGACAGCCTGGGAGGGAGGCAGCAGTGATTATCTTTAGAAGGGAACTCACGCTATAAGTGTATATGTTCGGTCTCCATCAGACTGAATTCTCTGCTTGCTTTTGTAGCGTTAGGGAATGAAATTAATGATCTGTTATTTCCCCCAAATAACCTGGTGTGGTTTCAAAGGCTCTGACGTGACCGTATGCACATTCCAGAAGGCATCGCCGTCCTTCCTGTAGGAATAGCTGTCATTGTCGTAGCCGATCCGATCCCCGTCCTCTCACCCAGCCCTGCTGCCGGGAGCGGTAGCACAGCAGCTCGGCGCCGGCGCCACTGCGCTCAGCTCGATGTGGAAGCATTAATCACAGGCTGACAGGAATAAGATAGAATAACTGCATCTGAGTGTGCTCTCAAAGATATATTTACAGTGCATTTCGGTCGGAACACATCACCTTAGTGGATCTTTTTCTAATCTAATTTAGGCACTTCAGGAGGACCTGAGAGAGAAGGAAAGAGAAATTGCTACAGAGAAGAAAAATAGCTTAAAGAGGGATAAAGCCATTCAGGGCCTAGCCATGGCGTTAAAGTCGAAGGAAAAAGAGGTATGTCTGACCCACCCGAGTGAGGTTTTTCCTGGTCAGCTTCCGGACTGCCCTGTCCTGCCCTGGACTTGCAGCTCTGCGTGAAAAGTTTATGGGAGAGCTGGAATGACTCTAGAATGTAGAGTTAAATGACTGTAGGAAGAGGGGCAGGGATCCTTTGGTCAATTAGAAGTTCTTCTGGCGTGTAAATCACAATACAAATATGTGAGTTACAGGTACAATTTTAATTTTTTTAAAGCCACATCAAAAGAAGTAAAAAGAGGCAAGTGAAATCAGTTTTACTATATATGACAAATAGTATCATTTCAACATCTAATCAATAGAATAAAAATAATAGTGAAGTTTTTAACATTTTTAAAAATCTGAAGTCCAGATATCCTTTCAGCACATCTCAAGTCAGATTAACCAAGGTCAAGTGCTCAGCGGCCAGAGGGGGCTGGTGGCTACGTCCTGGACAGTGCGGGTCTGATCTTTTGAAAGACAGCAGAACGCTGAGATAAAGGGGATTTGGGGAGCAAGGCCAGGGTAGTCAGATGGTTGCGTGGGTCGCTGTCCGTGGGACCCGAGGTGGTGGCCGAGTGATCCCGTGCCGTTTCCTGTCCGTGGTGCAGCAGTCTGTTGTGTCTCAGTCACTGTGCGTGGCACAGGGGCAGGGAAGAGGGCCCGACTCTGCTCACAGCCCGGTGGGGAAGGAGGGCGGGGAAGGAAAGGTTGTGATGGAGGGACGTGCAGGGGGCTGTGGAGGTGGAGTGCGGGGACCCAATCCAGCTTAGGGTGTGTGTTTGGGAAGGGGGTGGGTGGCTCTTTGAGGGGGAGGTGTCTGAGCTGGGTCTTGAAGGATGAGTAGGGTTGGCTGGGAAGGGAGATGGGAGAGGAGGCTGTTTCATGCCGAGGGGAGAGCAGTGGTCAGGGCATTCAGTGGAGGAAGAGCCCGATACCTTTTTGTGGAACCAGCAGCAGTCTGAGGTGGTCAGAGCATCAAGTGCAGAATTTAAGCGAAGTGAGAGAAGACGCTGGAGAGGTTGCACGGGACCAGCTGGGGGTGGCGGGACTGTTCGTGTTTCGCTGCTTGGGCGTTGCTCCTCTGAAGGCTCTCAGCGGGACAGGCGAGATCACGTTTGCATTGTAGTGAGGTCTCTGCCTAGATCCGGAGAGTGGGTCAAAGGAGGGAGAGCATGGAGGCAGGAGGCCAGCAGCCGAGGGGAGAGCCGCCTGATACAGAAAGGCTGTCCGATGCAGCAGAGAGCTGCTTCATAACAATAGTAGCTATAATTTGTATCGTGTTGGGAGTTCAGGGCCCAGCGGAAGTCTGTGACCTTCAGTATGTGGTGGAGCAGTTCTGGGTGCTGGCAAAGTCCAGGGTGTGGCCGTGGTAGTTGGTGGCTCCCTGGGGTACATGGGCATAGCCGATGTACCCCATCGGCTGGGGTGTTGGGCGGGTCATCCATATGGACAACAATAATAGGGATGGTAACAGTATGAGCCAGGCGTTGTTTCAGCACCTCTGCACAGTACCTCGTTTAACCCCACAGTGCTGTGGTTGGGTGAGTGGTGGTAGCTTCGTTTTACAGTTGAGGGAATCTCTTTCATGAAAGAGGTTCTTCTGTGCATGATGACAAAGACCTTGATTATAAGCAGAGTTCAGCAGTTAAAGCATTTGGGCCACCCAGAGGTAGGAGCCCAGCTGCATACTTGACTGCTAGTCCTTGTTTTTACCCAGGTCGAAGAACTTAAGTCTGAAATTGAAGAGCTCAATGCTGCCTTTGCCAAAGCCCAAGAGGCCCGCCAGGAAACACACACCCAGAAATTCCAGGTAAGTTTGCACTTTGGTTGGAGTGGTGTCTCTTTCATCCTTACTCCTGGGGAGGTCAGGACTTCGTAGCTGAAAGGAACCAAGGAAACTTCTCAGCCGTCTTTAATGGTAGAACTCTCTCTTTCTAGGTAAACTCTACCAGTTTTGGGTGCTTCCCCAGCCCCCTCATCAATATGATAATGGTAATAATACTGATAATGATGCCAACTGCCCTTCAGTTGGGAGTGCTGAGTTTACTTTGTGCAGGTAGGAGATTGCAAAGTGTGTGGATTATCTTCATCAGTACAGTCCTGTGGGGAAGATATTGATTTCCCTTGTATCTGTGGGGTTTCTGAAGCTCAGTGAAGATGGACGGTTTAGTTTATTCACTGTCATGCAGCTAGCAAGTGGCGGGGCCGGGATTTAAAAGTAGCGATTGCTAACGATAGTTGGCATTTATTAAGTCCATGCCGTGTGCCAAACCCTGTGCTAAGTGCCGTCCACAGATTAGCTCAGCGACTGCGCAGCAGCCCCGTGACATGGTCACCGCTAATGTCCTCACACTGCTGCGGAGGTCCTGGTTTGGAGACTCAGGTAGCTCGCTCGCTCGGGGCCACAGAAGTGGTGAGCGATAGAGTTTGACCCCGGAGCCGCTCTCACTCCCAAGCCCGTGTTTTCACCCATCCCCCCACGGTCCCCTCCCCTGTCTTCTCCAGTCCCACCTGCTCCCCAGTGGCTTTCTGTTCCAGGCCTTGCTGGTTGGACCTGCCTCTTCTCCTTCCCCAGGGCTGTGCTGCCAGGGCCCCTGCTGGTCGTCCTCACCATCTTCCGTTTCTCTTGCTGGTTGTAGGTCTGTGCTGTCCATCATTTTAACACTTTCTTCTCACGGGTCTGGTTTCCCTGGACAGTGCGCACCCATTACTAGTAACTTAATGAGTAAATCTCTGTTACCTGAGAAGTCCGTACTGCCTGAGCTCTTCCTTCCCCACCTTCACCTGTGTTTTTAGTTATAAGGCAGAAGTTAAATTTAAGTCTGATTTGAGACTGTTTGATTTCTAAGATTCGTATCTCATGCCTTATCTTTTGCAGAGTGTTGATTCACAATAAGAGGAATTGAGGAAATTCAGTTTAAATCCTGGTGCACTAGAAACATGAACAGATAGATCTCTGCTTTTGGAACCTCAGACTTGCCTTCCCCGCCGCTTTGACAGTGGTTGATGAAACGGAGCTGAGATTACACTTTTCTCTGAGGTTTTCTTCTCCTTTCTTAGAAAATGGCAAGCTTTTAAAGGCTGTTTTTAGGAAAAGCATTCATGTTTCCCATTGCTTGAGAAAAAAAATACATCGACAATTCACAAGCAGAGACCAGATAGCCTTATAAGCATTCTGATATTTTACTTATGTTGGGCCTTGGAAGAAAGTAAGTAGTGTTACACATTTGAATGTCATCAGACTTACACATACACTTGTGAGATGAGTGCCCGCAGCCCTGCCCGACTTTCGGGATGCTTTCTGAGGTCATGCGCAGTATTGGCGGGGTTTCTGGTCTCGCCGTGGGGAGGTCAGGCCTTCATGCCCGGTTGGCTGTTCTGAGTGCCCGTGTGATCCCTGCCTGTGAAGGCAGCGGGCTGGCCCGTTTGACGGGTCGTCGGGACTTGAACCTAAGCCCAACTGCAGTCTGTGCTCCTTCCCCTACTCGGAGTGTGTGCGACCCAACACACGCAGGACTCAGACGTTGGTCGTTTCATTGTCAGGTACGCTCGCAGATGCACTTTCTCTCACTTGTCGGGACCTCTTAGGGGTGCCATGTGATTGGGGCTAATTACAGCATGAATAACACAGCCAAAGCTCACAGGGCTGGCCTGAAGCCTGACACCGAAGCAACATCGAATCATGTTCAGACTCCTGGAGCAGTTGTCACAGTGCAGTGACCTGAGAGCCAGTCACGTGTGTGACTCTGGGAAGGTTACCATGTGGGCTGGCTATAGCCATTTAAAAATACATTTTCTTTTTTAAAATATAAATTGGTATGGATTTTTTCCTTTTTTTTTTAAGATTTTATTTATTTATTTTTTTTAGAGAGGGAAGGGAGGGAGATAGAGAGAGAGAGAGAAACATCAATGTGTGGTTGCTGGGGGCCGTGGCCTGCAACCCAGGCATGTACCCTGGCTGGGAATCGAACCTGGGACACTTTGGTTCCCAGCCCACGCTCAATCCACTGAGCTACTCCAGCCAGGGCAAAAAATACATTTTTTTACCCATTTAAAAGATACATGTTCAAGTTGGAAATAGCATTATTTCTCCTCCCCTCCCTGCCTGGCTATAAAAGTATTGTACAAGTGCTCATTGTAGGAAATTTATGCAATAATTAAGAGAGTGGAAAAGGTTGATAAAAGTCATCGATAATCTCACATCTGAAGATGTTCACTATTAACACCTTGCCTCTTTTACTGCATATTTCTACGCAGACACATAAAACCTTTGAAAAATTAAATAGGATTATAGTATATACTTTGAAAAATTAAATAGGATTATAGTATATACTTTGTTCTAACATTTTTCACATCTAATAGTTTTGCTATGGCAGTAAAAATAGATGTGCCCAGTCTCTTTTTTTATAATTGCAGTTTTCTGCTCATTGTGGACTCACATGCAGTAGACTCGAGCAGTTTGGCCAGCACGCGTGTGCGTGTGTGTCTGTGCTTTTTAAACAGACTTCCCACAGCTGCCTTCAGTCCAGCGGATGCAGGGGCCACGCTGTCTTCACTGGGAAGGGCGTGGTGTGGGGCGCGGATTTGATTGTGACTCTGCTCTTCGTGAACTGTGTGACCTGGGGCGAGACATTGGAGCTCGCCCAGCCTGCTGCACGCCGTAGGGTCCGGGCGCAGGTTATAAACTCGCCCTCAGGTTGGATGAGATATCTTCTGCCGTAGAAATACAGTAGTCACTGTGGTCGTTTTTTCAGATTCTCTGCTAGTGGTGGTACACACGTAGCTTTTAGCTTGCGGAAACCCCGCTCCATCTTTGGGCTGGGAGTGGAAGGTGGCGGAGTGAGCGGCCCGGGAGGAACTCGGTTTCCTGTGCGTCCCGCACCCACTGCGACGGGACTCGTGTGTCAGTCACTCCTCGCAACAGCCGTGGGAGCTAGAGGCCGTCACTTTCTCAGGCGAGGAAACTGAGCCTCAGAGAAGTTGCTTTTGCCCACGCCACTCAGCTGGCACTGGCCTTTGAACTTGGAGCTTTCTGGCTCTCGCTGTAGCAAACACATCTTATTTCTGCCCGGGACGGGGGAGAATGACTCATTTAATGTTGTATTTGGCCTTCAGTTTCTGACCTTGGGCTGAGTGCTTGCCACTGTGTGGAGGCATCTGACTGCGGGGACGGGATTCAGACAGCAGGGTGGCGTGGGGGAAAAGGTGAAAAAACTCTGAAGAAGTTTTCCAAAGGGCATTTCAAGGAAATTTAATAGGGAAAGAGTTTTTGTGAAGTAAGCAGAATGCATGAATTTGAATTCTTTGAGCTTGGATTGTTAAAGAAGCTTTGTCGTCACTTGAGTGACAATCCCACGAACTTCTGTCACTTCGTAGCTGTCGGTTTAGGGACGACCCTCGCTGGTCCGTGCTGAGCGAGCTCCTGTGCTCCTGCCTCTGGCGGTCCGCCCTTGGACTCGGTTCTCCCTTTCACCCTCGGTGGTCGGTGTGTTGGTCTTCGTCGGAGTCTGCGGTGGAACGTGCAAAGCGGTGGGGAGAATGTAGGCTCAGGAGTTGTTTGAATTCCCTGTTTATTCACGTGCGTCCGAGGACAAGTGAGCCATTTGACAGTGCTGAGCCTCCGTTGCTGCAGTACGGGTGGTAGTGTGTACCTTGCAGGGCTGGCATGAGAAGTAGAGGTTACCGTGTGTAAAGGTGCCTGGTTTGGCTCTACATGCATATATAATCAGTGTTCACTAAAAGCTAACTATGATCATTGTTCATGGTGAGCATTTTCCCAGTCATTGTTTATCTTCTGTTATTTTTTTTTAGTTTATTTGAGTAAGTGCTGCCTCAAATACTTTTTGTGGCGTGAGACCTAGGTTTCCCACTTCCTTTTATTTATTTTAATTTTAAAGGAAACCAAACCAGAAGCTTCTGTATAACCTACTCTGAAATTTGAATGGCTTCCTCCCTCAGTCTCTGTTGCCACGTCCTAAGTAGCAGTTGGGTCAACACGGGACCGGAGGGCTGGGCAGCAGGGGCCCAGGGAGGGAGAGCAGAGCCCCCACCCCAGCCCCAGCCAGGTTCTCTAGGTTGTAGCCCCCTCTCCTGGACCGTGGAGACTGGCTTACCTGTTGATGGCGGCAAGACCGGTTCCTGGGAAAGGCCGGGAAGCCGGAGCAGCCCCTTTACTCCACCGCTGGAGTTGTGACCTGACAGCTCAGGTGTTCCTTGCTTTAGGATTTTTAATTGTGACCCTCAGTCTAGTTCAAAGAGCAGATTTTTAAAAAAAATAACTATGTTTTCTCCTGATTATAAGTATTATATATGCTTTAATTTCTTTTTTTCTGGAAGATTTGAAAGAAGGAAAAAGAAGGAAACCAGGAAGTCACCCAACCACTATTAACGTTTTGATATTTTCTTTCTAGGCTTCTATGCATGCATTTTATTTTTTAGGTCCTTTATAATTTGTTTTTTTAAGTATATTTTATTGATTATTCTATTACAGTTTTCCCAATTTGCCCCCCTTTATCCTCCCTCCATCCTGCACCCCCCAACCCTCCAGCATTCCACCCCCCCTTAGTTCATGTCCATGGGTTATAGAAGTTCTTTGAGTTCTCTGTTTCCTATTCCATTTTTGACCTCTCCCCGTCTATTTAATGCCTACCAGTTATGCTTCTTCTTCCCTGTACCTTTTCTCCCATATTCCTCCCTTCCCCACTCCCCACTGAAATCCCTCCATGTGATGTCCATTTCTCGGATTCTGTTCCTGTTCTAGTTGTTCGCTTAGTTTTTGTTGTTTTTATTTTTTTAGGTTCATTTGTTGATAGTTGTGAGTTTGTTGTCATTTTACTGTTCATATTTTTGATCTTCCTTTTCTTAGATAAGTCACTTTGACATTTCATTTTAATAATGGCTTGGTGATGATGAACTCCTTTTACTTTACCTTATCTGGGAAGCACTTTATCTGCCCTTCTATTCTAAATGAAAGCTTTGCTGGACAGAGCTTTCTTGGATGTAGGTCCTTGCCTTTCATGACTTCGAATACTTCTTTCCAGCCCCTTCTTGTCTGCAAGGTCTCTTTTGAGAAATCAGCTGACAGTCTGATGGGAACTCCTTTGTAGGTTACTGTCTCCTTATCTCTTGCTGCTTCTAGGATTCTCTCTTTACCTTTAATCTTGGGTAATGTAATTATTGTGCCTTGGTGTGTTCCTCTTTGGGTCCAACTTCTTCGGGACTCTCTGGGCTTCCTGGGCTTCCTGGAAGTCTATTTCCTTCACCAGATTGGGGAAGTTTTCCTTCGTTATTTGTTCAAATAATTTTTCAATTTCTTGCTGCTGTTCTTTTCTTTCTGGCACCCCTGTAACCGGATATTGGAATGTTTCAGGTTGTCCCAGGGGTTTGTAAGCCTCTCTTCACTTTTTTTGAATTCTGGTTTCTTCATTCTGTTCCAGTTGGATGTTTACTTCTTTTTGTTTCAAATCGTTACTTTGAGTCCTGGTTTCCTTCCTATCACTGTTGGTTCCCTGAATATTTTCCTTTATTTCATTTTGGGTATCTTCCATTTGTTCTTTCATTTTTCAACCAAGCTCATTCAGTTCTGTGAGCATTTTGATTACCAGAGCTGTGAACTCTCTATCATATAGGTTGACTTTCTCCTCATTGCTTAGCTCTTTTTCTGGAGTTTTGTTGTGTTCTTTCATTTGGGCTGCATTTCTTGGTCTTGGGGCCCCTGTTAGGTTGTAAGGGGGTGTGGCCTTAGGTATTCACCTGGGCAGGGCAGCCCCCCTTGCTGTGCTGCAGCACCATCTGTGAGGGAGGGGCCAGGGAGGGAACAATGCAGCTCGCCTGGTTGACTCTAGCCCACTTTTCGGTGAACTCTCATGTGAGACTGGGAGTATCTCCCACTGCGGCGTAGTCCACAACCACCTCTGAGCCTCAGTTTCCCATTCGGTCAGCCCCTCCTGTGCAGTCTGCCACCTTGCCGCAGTTTCTCTCTTGTCCTCTGCCTTACTGGTCTGGTTGTTCTGTTTGACTGTTCCTTTATTCCTGTGGTTGTCGAAATTCCATGCAGCTTGCTTTTCTGGCACTTTTGGTGGTTTATTGATTTTAGATTGGTTATTAGCCTCCGTTTGGTTGTGCGAGGAAGCACAGGGTTTCTACCTACACTTTTATCTTGGCCGGAACTCTATAATTTGGCTTTTTACTTTTTCATATAACATTGTAGCTTAGAAACATTCTTGTATTATCAACTCTGTAAATACAGTTTTAGGATTTCATTGTGCAGCTTATCATATATCATACCCATTTTCATATTCTTGCACATTTAGGTGGTTTCTCACTTTTCACTATTTAAGTAATTCTGTGGTGTGTGTAAGGCTCCCTGCCTCCTATATTTTGGGTTCTTCCCCTGAGATTGAATTCTAGGAATGGAATTATTGGGATGAGTGTGAGTATGTTTATGTGATACACACATACTTGATACATATAATCTGTTCATCAAAGTCATGTTAATTTACATTCCTGCCAGCATATTTCCTGGCTTCTAGATTCTCAGTTAGTTCTTGAAAAGTGAATGTTAATTGTGTCGTTTCACAGTCAGCTCTCCAGCTCTGGATATTCTCATAAAAACACTTCTTAAATGAAAGCTTGCTTTATTTTGCTGTTTTTGATTGTTGGTGAGTTATTACATTTTTTTATATGCTTGATAAGCACCTAGGTAATTCCTCTAGTAAACTGTGTGCTAATGAAATAAAAATGTACTTGACACATGGAGCCCTTGGACTTGGCAGAATCTGCAGGTGGCCATGGGGCTGCCGTGCTGCCCACGTGTTTTCTCTCTTTGACACTGGGTTCAAGCCGTTCTAGTGTAGATACACGTCACCAGTGCTTGAGTCCATCTCTGCTCTTCAAATGAAGCTGTTTGTTCTGCCTTTTTAAAATACATTATTTTCTAAAAAAATTACTATAAAAATTATGTGCTCACTAACCTTAGGACATTTGAAAATATACAGAAGTGAAGGAAAAAAGTCAAGTATATTCCCACCTCATGAAAGACTGTTACTGTTAACATTTTGTGCTTTTCCTTCTGGTCTTAAAAAAATTTTTTTTTTACAATTGTAGCTTTCCCCCTTCCCTTTAACATCAACATCCTAACATAAACATTCCCCTGAGTAATTTCAGAATCTTCATATTATTTGTGCTCTGGGTCCTGAATGCCTCACCCCATGGTGAAAAGGTGCATGAATTTCTTGGTTTGTTTAATGAGCTGTGAAAATTAGTTTTCTCCCTTCTCTGCCTCCTCCCCCAGGGGTCTGCGGACTACGAAGCTGCTCTGTCAGAAAAGGCAGCCCTTCTGGCTGTGCTGCACTCGGAGAACCTCACCAAGAGTGCGGAGAACCACAGGCTGAGGCGGAACCTGAAGAAGGTCACCCAGGAGCTGAGCGACCTGCAGCAGGAGAAGGAGAGGCTGGAGAAGGACGTGCAGGCAGCCCGGCGCGAGAGGAGCAGAGGAGACAGCACCATCCACGTGAGCAGCCCGTCCCCTTCCGGAGCGGCGGGCAGTGCCGTGCGCTGGGGCTGTTCCGCCCTGTCTGGTTTTAGGGAGATGCACTGCAGAAAACGTAGGAAATCTGAAAAACGTAAGGAAGAAAACACTCATCTGATCACCTCAAAATGAGCAGTCGATGCCCTAACTAGTTGGTGTTTTCATCCTTTTATACCCTCTTCCCCCTGCCCCACCCCAGGCATTATTGGTGTTAAGCGGAAAATGCATTTTTGTATTTTTTTTTTAATTTTACAATCTCTCTTTGATGTGTTGCCATTTATCAATGTTCTTCAAAAACACGTTGTTTTGGTGCAAGGAAGCATAATATTTCATCACTTGATGGGTTACAGTTTATTTAATTAGGCCCTCATTGTAGGACATTTAGGTCATTACACTTCTTTTGGCCTTATAACAATTGCTATAGCTAACATCCTGGTACACAAATATTTATCCACTCTTTTTCTCCTGATAGAGATATAATTACTGGGTGAAAGAATATGAGTATTTTAAGACTGTTTTAGAAATACACTCAAAATTGTTCTCCAGAAAGATTATACCATGGGTCCCTATATGAGTGATGTTTTTGACGATTACTCTATTCAGCATTGAATGTTAGCATTAAAGAATTTTCTCTGAAGTTGGCAGGAAGAAAATAATTTGCCTTTTACAATCTTTATTATATTTAAACCCAAGTATTGAGCATCCCGAGAGTCGCATCCCTTTACATAAGCCTTGGTGCTGACAGCTAGGAGAGGGTCAGAGTGTGAGTGACCGCTGGCCCTGCGGATATGCGCGCTCGGTTAATGGGATTACGGCACAGGAGTCGGGGCAGGGAGAGTCACTAGAGCAGAGAGCTCGGAGGAGAGCCCGCAGGTGTCTGAGGTCTGCTCCCTGGTGCCTGCTGCCAGCTGGCACATGGAGATGCACACTGGTGGGTTACCGTGTTGGTGGTGATGCTGATGACAGAATAGAAACACAGTGTGCAGTGTAACAGAAACTTTGATGAGCATAGCATAAGAGAGCAATAGTGGAAATTCAGAGACATAAGAAGTTGTCGCCTACCCTTCTGCCGCTCTAACGACATAGCTCTGTTTTCCGACATCACCCTTCAGTCCTGGCGCAGCTGGGCCCCCGGTCTAATCAGAGACTAAGTCCTGTCTGTGTTCTTCGGTCGCGTGGGGCATCTGCCCACGTAATTTCCCCTATCACAGACATGTCCCCATGTCCCTTCCTTTGTCACGGACGTGTCGCCAGATCACTTGCTCTAACACGGTGTCTGTCGCCCCATGCTGCGTCGACTCCAGAGTGATTATGTTGATTGGTACGTATCCACAACTGAATAGATTTCACATGATTTACTTAATGCTTATCTCTTCTGTTGGACATTTTGGCTGTTTAAGTAGTGCTGCCGTGGATACCTTTGGTCATAGAGGCGTTTTCTCTCGAAATCCCTAGACAGGAGATCACGGGTCAGGTGGTACAAATATTTTGTACTAGTTAATCAGGCTGCCAGATTATTTGTCTAAAAGGCTGGTCTAGTTTATGTTGCCACTAGCAGTATTAGTGAGTACCGGTTTATTCCAGCGTATTAAAGACCTGCCCCTGTATTTGTTCAGTGTTGTTGAACACTGAATGTGCCTGGTTTAGATGCTGGTGGAAACGCAAGGCATGGCGTCTGAAAGTTTTAGTTTTCTGAGAGAGTTGAAAATGTTATGCACGACAAAATGCAAGCAGTTTGAGACCCAGAGCTAATTAGCATAGCAGTCAGCGTGAGAGATCCTTGTAGGATGCAGTAGTCGTGGGACCCTTCCGGGGGAGGCGCTGCTTGGACTGATGGGAAGGAGCGAGGTGTGCGCAGGGTGCCCTGGCGGGTGCCCCGAGGCCCTTGCACTGAGGTGCCCTTTCCACAGTCAGTGTTTGTGTCCCTCACGATGTTTGTAGGGTAACAAAACCTGTGGGATGGCAGGGTTCTTTTTTTAAATTTACTTTACAATAGTCGTTCCCCTTTCTCCTTCACTGTCAGTATAAAAATAGTCAATAAAATCTGAATGGGGGAGCGTGTACAGGTTACATAGATGTACACACACACACGCACACTCACATATAAAACGTGTAATATTTCTCACGTTTCGACGTCCGGCAGCGAGTCGCTGCTGGGGAGCTCCCTCCGGGGTGGTGTGCTGCCGCTTGTTTACCTGTCCCTCTCCGGTCAGATCCTGTCGGTTCCATAACTCGCTGGTTCATGCCCACACGCTGTTTCTGAAACAGTTTTGGGCTGCTGTTGATCAAAAAGCCGCATTCTTAGGCAAAAAGGGACATCTGTTGCCTTGTAAGTGAACTGCTAGAAGGACGAGTGACCGGGACACTGCCCGGACCGGTCTCCGTCCCTCCGAGAGCTGCGGCGTCCTTGCCTTGACCCAGTCCCTCCGGTGCCAGGTGGGAGGACGCAGCACTGCCGCCCCGCCCGCCGGGACCGCGTCTCCCCAGTTCAGGACGGAGAGGAGGGAGGGCTGCACTCCACTGTTGGGGCGGCCCGAGGGGAGGTGCTGAGAGGCCCAACCCGGGCCACGTACCCACTGTCCTTTGTCGGCAGTGTGCGTGTGCACCATCACCACGTCAGCTTGCGCTAGAACCACGTGTTTGCAGGGGGATTCGCTGCCGCCCAGAGCAGGCGCGGCCTTGTGTCAGGGCGCTGGGCAGAGCAGCACCGCAGCTGGCGCTCCAGACGTCTCCCTGGTGTGAGCAAGCCTGCGACTCGGCTTCCGGCATCTCACGGCTACTTGTCTGCAGCGGGCCACGTGTATGTTTCTGGCAAGGTGACAGGGCTGGGGCTTCTCTCTTTGTGCGTGTGTGTTGTATCACAGGGGTAGCTCCATTTAACTTCTGGTTGCACGCTAAGAATTTGGCCCTGCCCATCTCATAGGAATGTTTTACACCAGGTCTTGGGGTCACTGGCTGGTGCAGGGTCTGGGGAAACGTGATGGGGGAGTGTTTTCACCTCACCGTGCTGGGGTGCGTGCAGAGGAAGAGCATAACCCCCGGGCTGGCGTGTGTGATCAGCTTGTTCTGTTAACTAGGCTCTTCAGTGGACTAGAGCTGTGCACTCACCAGCTGCTGCTGCTGTTGCTTTTGGATTGAAACAAACAAACAGAGAGCCAGACCTTTCGGTGTTTCTGTCCTGGGACCCACCCACATACTCAGCAGGCCCTCGCCTTGGCACGGGGCAGCTCCACGACAGAGGTACCAACGAAGCAGCACGGAGCACAGAACAAGGACGTGGCCCGCAGGGTCAGGGCAGGCCTCTGGGGGAGGGAACTTTTGAACTGGTTCTGAAGTTTGAGTTTAAGTTTACTGCATGGGGGGGAGGGGTTTTGTAGGGAGGGGGAAGGCACAGAGGCGTGTGTGTTTGGGGGAAACAAGGTAAGAACATCCAACTTGAAGTATTCTGGTTATTTGAAGCTTTAAAAACTGTAACATTTCTTTTGCTGTTTTAAAAACATTGTCAGAAGTTTATGGAGAGTCCCGAAGTTACGTGAAATTAAAAATAAAGATAAAGGTGTTAGGGCCCAAGAAAAGGAAGGGTGAGGGGTAAAGTGGAACCAGGGAGGGCGCAGAAGTGCGGGTGTGGTGCCCGTCGCAGCCCTGCGGGGGGGCCTGGGCATCCAGCTGCGGCCCCTGGCAGCTGGAGCGAGAAGGGAAATGCGGCTGCAGTTGGCTCCAGTGTCTGTCGGAGGAACATGCGACGATTAAAGGACAGCTTTTGCCAGTGCTCAGGCCTGAGGAAGCCCTGCCTCTGGCGGGTTTTCCGGAGAGTTCTCCGAGCAGTAGCACACGGCGCCTTTGACAATGGCCCATCCAGTAAAAGCAATTGTGCACAGGGCCGGGTCCGTGTCATCCAAGTCAGTAAGCTTGTAAGCATTAAGTTCAGGCTTTCAGTCCCTGGCGCAGTGTCTTGCTGTTCCCCATTATTCTCGTTTCTTCGACCACTGTAGAATCGGCAGGGAGCACTGTGTCCTGCTTACAGAGGCGCAGGCTCGAAGCCTTTGCAGCGGCCCCCACCAGGCAGTCCTCGGTGGCACAGCATTCCCTGGATTCTTTCTGATGGAAGCCAGCGGCTCTCTCTGGACGTGGCCGAACCATCCTTTGCTCATGCCAGCGACATTTACTGCAGTCTCACCGTGCCTGCGTTTAAGCATTTCAGAGGCAGACAGTGCCCGTCTGAAAGTGCAGCTCGGACAGAGGCGTGTGCATTTGCTGTGTCTGATGGTGCGCGAACGTGGACAAGTTGGGCCGTGAGAGCCGTTTCTCACATTTGTTTTAATTGCCTGCGATTGCGGTGACCCGCTGGCAGTCGACTCAGCATGCGCTGTAATTTGCAGCGTGTTCATTTGTTTAATCAGGGGACATTTATTGGGTGCTTGCAACGGTGCAGGCGCTGTGAGTAGGCTCTGGTGAATACAAGTTTGGTTTGTACTTTGGAAGACTTTTTTATAAGAAAGGTCAAAAAGTGAGGGTCTCACAGATAGAGTCCCTTCATTGTATTTTACCTCCAGTGCCTCCAGAGAACCCTTAGCCCTTTGGGGAAATTCAGGAGGCTTTGCAAAAGCAAACCAGAACCCCGCACTGTTCCCGAGTGGGTGTCCTTGCTCCTGCGGTCTGACAGGCGTGCTGCTCGGGCCCTCACCCCCCTGCCCTCACATCTCTGGCTTTGCCACAGTGTTTGGCTCCAGAGACATGCCTCTCCTTTTCGTGCGTGCATGCTTGTGTGCCTTGTGTGTGCAGGCATGCGTTCAATGAAGGTGAGAGAGTGGTACGTCTTTATTTTAGATTTGCTGTCTCTGGTTCGGGCATTCCGGGTGCTGTTCGGGGTGTGTTGGGGAGAGGAGCAAGTCCTGGTCTGTTCTCCGTCAGAAGCGACGTGCATTAGACAGCGGTTTAGCTGTGTCCCGCAGACTGTCTCACAGTGCTCTCATCTGTCTCGA